AGTCGGCGCTGACGGCGGTGCGGTATGTCAGCGCCGAGCGATGCGCGTAGCAGTTCCAGGCGATTTCATCAGCCGACTTGTCAGTCGACAACACAAAGTCGCGGAGGGACCGGACCACTGAGACGAGAGACTTCTGCGACTTGGCCGAGAGTACCAGGGGAAGCCCGACACTGGGCGCGTCGGGATTATATGCCGGTGCGGCCGAGACGATCGGGATCTCCAAGCCTGGTGCAAAGTGCTTCGCGACTTCATCGTGGATGCTCGGCTCGTACCGTTCGATGATGGCGTGCGAGTTGGTGCCACCGAACCCGAACGAGTTGACACTGCCGCGAAGGGGCTGGCCAGCCGGGGCCTGGGGCCATGGGACGACATCGACAGGGATGCGGAGATGGCCGTAGAACGGCCGCACGCTAGGGTTGAGCGTCTCCAGGTGCAGGTTGGGCGGGATCGAGTTGTTGATCATGGAATGGACTACCTTCAACAACCCAGCCAAGCCCGCGGCACCTTCCGTGTGGCCGATGACGGTCTTGATGGATCCCACGACAAGCTTTTGATCTTCGCTCTCGGCAACGGTCGATGCCCTGTCGCCGAAGAAGGCCGTGGAGATGGCCTGCGCCTCTCTGGGGTCCCCCGCCTGGGTGCCGGTTCCATGCGCCTCAAAGTATTGGCATCGATCTGCCGGGGAGTGAGGGTCCAGACCGGACCGGCGATACGTGTCCCTGATCAGCTCCGCCTGCGCGATGGGGCTGGGCATGGTGATGCCCTGCGTGCGCCCGTCCGAGTTGACGCCCGTCTCTCTGATGATGCTGATGACTGAGTCGCCGTCCTTCAGTGCCTGTGACAGGGGCTTGACAAAGAGCGCCGCGAAGCCCTCGCCGCGGGCATACCCGTCAGCGCTGACATCCCACATCCTAGACTTTCCGGTAGGGCTGAGCATGTGCAGACTGGCTTCGCTGATGAACTGTTCGGGTGTGATCATCATGTTTGCGCCGGCCACGCAGGCCATCTCGCATTCGCCGGATCGAAGACTCAGCACCGCCTGGTGCAGAGCTACCAGACTCGATGAGCATGCTGTGTCTACGGTCATGGAGGGGCCGCGAAAGTTGAAAAAGTAGGATATTCTGTTGGAGAGAATCGCTCTCGAGTTGCCCGTGGCAAAGTATTGGTTAGAGGTGATGTCGTCACGTTGGCATAACGTATCGTAGTCTGCAGTCATAAGGCCGGCAAACACGGCGACCTTGCGCCCGGCGTACCTCTCGAGGTTGTATCCAGCTGATTCCAGAGCTTCGTAGACTACCTCGAGGATAATGCGTTGTTGAGGATCGATGGCCTCGGCTTCCTTTGGGGTGATGCTGAAAAACCCAGCATCCCACACGCGGTGGTCCTGCTCAAGAAAGTAGCCTTTGGTGGCATTTGTTGCCCCATGGTATTCGCCGTCGGGATGGTAGAAACCTTGGGCGTTAAACCGGTTCTTCGGGACTTCTTGTGTAAGGTCTCTGGGGTTGGTGAGGAGTTCCCAGAGCTTTGATGGAGAGTTGACCTGCCCAGCGAACCGACACCCCGTGCCGACAATGGCAATGGGCTCGGACTGGGGTCTCTTGTAGGCAGACATTGCTGTCTAAGGTGTTTCTAAAGTAATTATGAATTATTGGGATGGAGACGAAAAAACGAGGTAAATAATGTTACAAATTCGGGTGTAAGTCCACTACGTTGGCAGGAAAGGTCCAATGGTTGTATGGGGGTAGTCCAAGAATGATAAGAATAGGGAAGAATGGGAAGAGCTGTAATGATCAGAGAAGACAACAACATTCCAGACAGGGCGATTACAAGGGATATATAGACAAACATCTGCGCAGCGGCAGCGGTAGTGATATCAGCATCGCGATGCGCTCGCTCTCCCTGCCAGACAACGTCGATACATGACGACGCATCGGCCCCACCCCTGTCGGAAAAATAAAATAAAAAAGAGCAAGGGAGAAAGCCCAGCTGGTCTGCATGGACCATGTTTCCCACGGCCCTGGGGTGAGCCGATGGCCAAGGGGAGAGGCGTGTGGAAGCGTTCGATCGACGTTCGGCGGTGGTCATGATGGATATGGAGAAAAAGGGGTGGGTTCGGACTTCCGTTGCCGAAAAATGTCTTAAGACGGTCATCGGGGTTCGGCGTTGGTCAGCCGCCAGCAAACGCGGCGCCCGACTATTTAGCTCGCCGTCACAAGCTCAAATCGGGAGGGTGGCGTGGACCGACTGCCGGGAGGCTTGACAAGTTGCGCCTCTTCTTCAACGATGGACGACGTGCGATCTGTCTCGGCGCTAGGAGCAACCGAAGGCAGTGAACGGACAACGACGAAAACGGAGCTGGGCAACCAGAATACGGACGAGCGACCCGTTCCGCAACCCTCGCACGAGGGCAATTGGGCACCGTTCACATTTACCGCGTGGAGAACATGGGGGTACTTGCACATGAACGACGTTTCCTTTGTCTCGCGCGGGATGGTTTGAGGCTGCTCCGGCCCCTCTTGTCTAAACTCAACTCCATCCGACTCCAGAGCACCATTACATGACTCCTCCATCCGCTCGCTTGCCGCCAAGTATTTGAAGCGGGATCTCCAAGAACAACTCACGCCATGCAACAGGGATACGCCCTAATTCGTCCTCATCCGTCAAGAAAAGACTCCATCGCCTTGCGTAGCTCCTTTAGCTCCTTGCCTAGACTTTCTTCTTGCCTCTTCAGGGCCTGAAATGAGACATCGACTACACCAGAGAACATGGAGGTGGCGTCAGATGCCCTGCCTACTGAAGAACTATCCGATCGCAGAGCCGGGTCTAGTGATGTGGTCGCTCGCCGCATCTGTAGAAGAAACTCCTCGGCCAGCTGGATTGTAAGAGACATCTGCAGCGACGGCGTCGAATCAACTGCGAACGAGCCCACTGTGACGCCAGGGAGCTTCCAGGACTGAAACAGCTTGCCCGACTCTAGCTGCGCTAGCTCCGAGTGGATATAGCTAAAGACCTTCTGGTACATGTCCAGAAGCCGAACATATGTCGAGAGAACGAAGAGACAGGTCGCCGGATCCGACAAGGAGTTGAGTCGTCTAGCGAGCTGGGAGCTTCCGTCATCGCTTGCGGGAGATCCCACCTCTGCCGGCGGAGACATCTCTGCAAGAATGTCCGCAAAGTGACGCGAGAGTTTGAACATCTCGTCGATGGGGAAAGGCGCCGTCGTGGAGCTTCCGTCATCGGGTGTGGACGCCATGCTGGATCGGCCGTGCTCCTCGGAAGAATCCATTTGAGCGGGTAGATCCGACGAAAGCTCAAAGAGTCGGGAGTTGACTTCCGTGATTCGAGGCATCCACTCCTCCGTCGATGAACCGTGGCCGCCAGCGTACGGCTGCAGCATGATCTGCCTCGCTCTTTGCCCGATACGCCTTTTCGATGTTCTCTGTGGCGCCGGTTCCTGTAGCTCGCTGGATGTTGACAGGTGCCCGTAGGGTGAAGGGCTTCCGAGATAGGCACGGCCGGCGAAGCCTGTTTCCGGAGCCATAGGTGATGCGAATGCGGAGTCCGATGTTGTAGAGTGAACGGGGCTCCAGGAGTGGACGATGGTGTCTCCATGATCCGGTATCAAGGCGTCCATGCTGCCGCCGAAGGCTTGTTGTACCGGTTGCTGCTGGTTCGGACCGGATTGATAGAGACCGGCAGAGTGGCCGCCAAAACCGAAGTCGAAGTCTACTATGTCTAGCATAGCATCGGACGAAACGGTGCCATCATCTCGGAACCCTGTGTTACTGCAGACAGAAGCAACATTTTGTGCCTTGACGATTGCTACCCGAGAGAGATAACGTCAGTGAGGGGGGTGGACTTGTGGACAGGTTGAAGACACTCGACTCACACAGATCAGTGTGGGCGACTGGACGGCCGCCCTCTTTCCGTTGGCGTTTGGGCGACGGGACACGCTTTCGTGAGTGGTCTCGAGTCGAGCCTTGCTGGTTTTGCTTGCGATAGCGCAAAGAAGGACTCGAGGTGCACTCTTCCTTGAGTCTGATACACCGCTCGCATGCTTCATCGCCGACGCGTTTACAGCTGAGCTTCTGCCTGTGGCACCTGTCGCAAGCTTTCCGAATCGGACCGTCAGACATTGTCACTGCCATGGTTCGGCGTTTGCAAAACAAGAATAATCTACGAGGGAATTCCAAAGTCGGGGGGTGAGGGGAGGCGTGTAGTCAAATAGGCCTGAATCCATACGGCAGGGAAGTGGGCTAGATCCCTGAACAAAAAGACAAGTTTGCCCAAATGCTTTTCCCTCGGCAGGGGAGCAAAGTACCATCCACGAGATGTGGACGTGTAGAAAGGTACCGGCATCGACTAAACCCAGGATGGTCCATTCCTCGCCGCAACCATAAGCCAAGTGGGAAAAAGCACCCGGATAGCCGAGTCACTGCCATTGGACCAACGCCGGCTAGCCTTGAGCGAGAAGGTAAAACTGGCTATTGTGGGCGAGGACGCTGGGCCTTGCGCATCAGACCTGGACGAGATGGCATCTGAACTAACCTGCCCCAGAAGGATAGAATTGGGCCGGGGTCTGGAAATGGGACTGGGAAGTGGGTGTCGAGTGTGTGTTCACCAGCGACGCTTGCTTGCCTGGCAACCAACCAATGGGTATCCTCCCCGGTGACCCAGTAAGATGGTACGGCCTGAGTGACATGTGTGATCCAAGTCCATTACGAGGGGTTGAGAACGATGTCTAGGAGAAGAAAACCCCGCTAGCTCGAGAATAGAAGCACAGCGGCCAAGTCTCTCTGAAGAGCTGCGCTGCGCTGCACTAGACAGCCTGGGGTCGGTTGCAAGGGGTCGATCGATCCGCCAGGGTCCCTGTCCATGGAGAATGTGAAACATGAAAAACGAAGCATCGGGAGAGTTAGACCGAGGTGAGATGGGGACAGACAAAGAAAACATCTTAAGAGAGAGGAAACATAAAAGACTCTGGCTTACCATGGCAGGCCATGTCCACTAGGCTTGGCGCCTGTCTGACCCCCCTACCCACCACCGTCGAAGCTTTCCCCCACCACCGCACGGCATGGAATGTTTGCCAGATAGGAACCCCAGAACAAGCAGGGAGTAAGTACTAGCTGAAGGGGCAGCCATCTCGTCGATGACTGAGTGCCAAGGAATGGCTAGGGACAAGTGGGTGTGACCCTGGCTCGCCGATAGGTGTGCCAGGTGGTCATCCCATCCAACATCCTTCAGGAAACGGCGGCAACCACATGTTACATGACCGGATCCTTGGTGTGAGCCCTTAGGACCAAGCCTCAAGCTCGAGATGGACGACTCGTCTCGCGGCAAGATCTTTGGCAGGTCAGATGATGGACTGCGTGGCCCCGGTATCTCAGCTTTCGGCATCGGCCATCGAGCCATCGTACGGCCTCAAAGGCAAGCCCTTCGGGATGTGTATGAACCGCCTAGGCCGTTGGCTTGTCGACGGCTTCGTCTAGTGCACCGAGTCGCCGTGAAGCTCACTCCGAGACCCATTGAGGCTTCCGGCTTGGAAGAAGGACGGCCCGGAATTCAGACGAATCCCGAGGACGGCTTCAGAACTGAAGGGTTTGCATTGTCGCCCAGAAGCGTTGAGGCCAAGTAGATACTACTCAGCCAAGAGCTACGGTAAGCTCAGAACTCGACTGCTTAAATCAAGGCCAAAGATAGTTCTGGCGAGGTTTGATGAGATATGAGGCATTGTCCAAATGCGTGTCAAGATGACGGTTTTTGCTGACGGTGCTTGCTTAAATGTTTGTCAATCTGTTTGTGGCAAATATTTGTTGGTAATATCAGCTGGGCCCGACAGGTTGGTTCGTGCCAGGATCCCCCGCAACGCATGTTGGGCGCAATTTGGTATTGCGAGATGATATGCAGCGCTCAGGGCACGAATAAACTGCGCTATGTCCCCAGACAAGACCGCCATCGACGGAACGGGAGTCTTGCTGTCCCAGCACCATGGGTGTGTTGCCTACCCTCTCGCCCTCACATTCTTGAAGTCGTCGGGTGTGGTACGAAGCAGCCCGTATCCGAAATCGACGAATCAGAGCCAAAGTGGTGGCATCTGCATCGGACAGAAAGCGATACGGCGCACGATTGGGAGTCGAGGTGGGACATCGTCATGGGCTAGGAGGCAGCCTTGCAATCAATCAATGGCCGTTGAAGAAGGCCCTTTATGGGCCCGGACAAGTTAGATCGATAAAGGATACGGCCGAGAAGTTGGCAGGAAGACGCCGTCTCTTTCTTTTGCGGGAAACCCAACTAAGCGCAGTAGTAGCCGGGCAGTTGGCGGGCGCGGTAGAGCGTCAAGCGGACGACGATGTCGACGATGAGGAGCGCGAGAGGTTTGGTCGAAACGCCATCACCAGCGGGGAACGTGCGTTCCCTTGGAGGTGCGTGCCGAATTGGGAAGAATGCAGCCCTAGCGCGGCTTGTCGGAGAGCTTCCAAGGTGTGGAAGGCCGCATGCTAGCTAGCCAGGATCTTCGACGCCATGCCTCCAGGCGAACCCTTGCAGGCAGGTTTGCGGCGCCCGCCAAACCGATTTCGAATCCGGACATGGAGATGGACAACGACGTGGTGGCGCAGATAGCTCGACGAAAGCTGGTGTTCCGGCCCAGCTGGCTGCCCCTGTTTGGTCTTGCAAACCCATTTCAACTTGATCGCCGGCGGATAGGAGAAAGAAAGGCTGTCCGATGGTATAGAAAGCTCGTTTGAGATTCCCCAAACTAGGGACAAATTGCAAAGCATAGCCGAAGGGGGTAGCAAAAATCAAGGGAGGGGGAAACAGGTACCAGAATCTAGTCTTGTTGCCCAAACATGAAGAAGTGGGTGCGGCGGCGTGGCCTAGAGCCCAGCTCGTGGCAGCCCCCCTTGATGGCTACTCGGGAGGGCCGTCGACAATGGCAGCCAGAGTTACCCGCGCCGAGCCGTAGAAGTCGACCGAGACGAGAAGACTTGGCGTCACGTCACCCCCAGATGACGTTGAGACTGGGCAATGGACCGTCCAGAGTATGGCGCCTTGGACCGGGCCGTTTTCCCGACCATTGTTTGGTATTTCTCTTCGATCTGAAAGATAATCTTTGTTTAGGATGTTATTGAGGGCGATTTCTCAGGCAACAGCGGCCGAAATCCAGTTGCTTAGGGTTTGAACGAAGGGGCGGCACCGCCAGCACGCAGCGAGCGCGCTTCGTTAGGGTCGGTGTCAGTTGCACAAATGCGGGCCGTCCCACGGAATGGGTGATCGGATCATTCCATTGTCCGTGCTGACGAACCGAGACTCACCAAGGCATGTTTGACGGGTCACCTATCCTGCGAAAGACGACGGCTCGATTATTCAGTTCCGTGCCCACAGAGGCGTTGAAGTTGGAACCCTAGACCAATGAGCTGCGACATTTGTCGAGCCATATGGGCGGTGAGTGGCCAATAGTGGCTACGGATAAGTCCAAAATGGGCTTCAGAGGCGTGACTGGGCTGCCAATGACCGAGCGACAGCAAGTGGGCTGAAGGTTCGGTCTTGTTCTCCATGGGCAGCGAGTCTCCCGTTTCGCCGTCAGGTTCGGCGAAGCTCGCGAGAGTCGGCGAAGAGCAGAATACCGGCGCATTTAGACCGAAAAACTGCAGTCATTGGTTTGTTCATTTAGATTTGCTAGAGAATGTGAGGGCTAGGCTGGAGATCGAACGGGGGGGTACAGGCAACGGGGCGTGTGGGTGGCATTGAAATCCAGTCCCCACCCCCGTCTAGGTCAATGTTTGAATGCCTCGTGACAAGGATTTGTAAGGCGATGGCTCGTGATGCATGGATAGACTTCGAGTACCGGCATTCCAGAATCGCCCGGTATAAATAAAATGCATATAATTTGGGCTCCTCGAAAAGGCAACGAGCGTTAGCAGGTGGTGAGTGGGGAGCAGAGCAGCGGAATGTAACCGACCCTTCCAGAAGTCCACCCCTCGCGTGCATTCCACGGCGCTTCATGAGTGTATTTCGCCCCCTGGGATGACGATGATGGATGCGGCCAAAGTATGCTCGGCGCCGTAGGCGTGCGTGTGTGAGAGATCAGATGATTCGGCAAGTGTCCGGGATGTCCTATGAACCCCAGGGTCTGATCCGGAGATCCATCGAGCAGGGTGGCGTGGGTCGATATGAAAAGTCAATTGTGACAGTCGGTAGCTATGGCGTGTGAGTCAATCGGTGGCATGAGAGGGGGTAATTGATGGAACTGATGGTAGGTCGGGACGCGCGGAATGGAGCCGCGGGAAAGAAGGCAAGAAGAGGAGCCAAAGAAGAAAGGGGATTGAGAAAGGAAAGAAACCGATGGTGTCAAATGGACGGGGAAAACAACCCCAGTCGACGCCGTGGCCTCGGGCCCCTCTGACCTGAGGCGAGGAAAGGAAAGATAAATCAGTTCGAGGGGTGTGGAGGGTCAAGAGACGCATTGCTTCCATTTTGCCTCCCCATTGACGTGCATTCCTGAGCATCGGAAGCACATATTTGTGGTATGTTCGTGGGAGATGAAGATGATGGGAGATGACGAGAGGGAGGGGGAAACGGCACAGCATCCGTACAGGGGCGTGGACACAGAAACAACGGGCGGGGCAGAACCGCATCCCCCGACAAAGGTACGTACCCTTTTTCGGATGACGGATCCGCGGACGGCAGGAGGGGGGCCGGAGGCCGGGGCCGGGGGATCGATCCTTCCTTTTTAGTAGTTACCCAGGAAGGTACTTACCCATATCTGCCTACCTACGGAGTACTTACCTACCTATCTACCCACCTTCCCACTTATGTATTTCTTCTTGCTTGGGGCAAATCATTTCGCACTTGCTTCTCTTGCCCCTCCCCGTTGTGCCTGCCCCTCCCGGGTTGCAACAACAACTCCTTCCTGCCCCTGGATCAGCAAGACCCCTCAGTGCCTTCTCCGGCTGTCCGGATCTCACTTTCCGTTCCCGAGCACATACCATACCGGTAGTATCGTACCTGCCTACCTAGGTGGGTAGGTAGGTAGGTAGGTAGGTACCTAGGTACTCTTGTCTTTACTCTTGCCTCCACTCTCGACGGCCGGGCTCGGGCTCCCGTTCTTCCGCGGGCACGTGGCCTCGTCCAATTGCGCCGATGGTGAACCCTGGGTCGATCCAGTCCACGGTCGTTCCGATCCTCGCACCGTTGGATGCGACTCTGTCTGCTTCCTCCGACCTCACGTCCATCTCGTCGAGACGACTGCGGTATGCGAACTCTTCCCGCCTTTCAACGTCATAGTTCAACAATGTCGACTCTACCCCAACAGTGCTAACCCGAGTCCAACCTGACCATTCCTTGCTTTGGCATGGCTTCGCTTCGTCGACCAGCAGGAGAGTAGCCTTTCTCCCACTGCCTTCGAAGCCTTGTTTCTCCGCCCTTACGTTGAGCGTCGGCTCTTTGTCATATTTCGCATTGGGACCTGGTTCCGGTACGGCCAGAGCCCGATTGACGAGGGATCGAATTGCATTCACAATTGTCCGACAGTACACCCATGTCGATCTTGATGCATCATCGCGTCAGCTTCATCGCAGTTTCGTCGGATCGCCGGGTCCCCAGCCCCCATGTCCGCATTCTTGGCGACGCTCTCCCTGCTTCGTCCGTTGCCCGCTCTGCCGGAAGCTAGCCGTGCTCGCGCAAGCTCCCGCTCGGGGAACAAGGCAGCCCCGGCGCCGTGTATTGACACAGTTGGCCCCGAGGATCGTCGTCGTGATGCATAATCTGGATGCCCAGCCAAGTTTCTCGACACCTTTCGGTGCTGCGAAAAAAGAAAAGTCTACAAAGAACGAGACCTTTCGCTTGTGTCGCGCTAGGTTTATCGCCAGCTCGATCCCTCGCCGTCCTTCCTCCCTGCACCGCATACCTGTGCCTCCTATGGCCATGGCATGAGATGACAGTTCAACGGCGTATGCCTTACTTGACTTGTTATAGTTGTTCGTGCACACAAGCTCCTTGGCAACAACAGGCACCTGCTTCTCAACAACCGCTTGCTCTTCCTCAACCTAACGGGTACAGATCAACATCATTCGTCGAGCCCCGTCAACTTATCCACTCGAAACGAATTCCAAATTCTATTCTGCTTCTGGAAGCCTAGTTGCATTGTTTGAGGGCAGAAGGTGCAGAGAATTTCACGGTAGAAAAGTCCTTCGCAGAACCTGTCCTCCCGAAACGACCCAGCTGAGAAAAAGAAACGCTCAGCCCCCACGACCGAGGGAAGGCAAGGTCGCTAGAGAGACAGAGAGAGAGGGAGAGAGAAAGGAAAAGAAAAAAAAGAAAGAAAAAAGGAAAGAAAAGAAACGATTCCAACCTTTCACTTATTCACCTAAACGAAAGTTTTTGAAAAAAATTTCCCCCTCGGATAAAACAAACGGAGAATTTCTGAGAGGTATCTTTCTATCTGTTCGAATCAAGCGAGACACGCGGTCAACTAAAAAGAAGAAAAGACCAAGAGAAACACGAGAAAAAAAAACCCCCCCCGATTTCCAGACTGCCACCCCGCTGTGTCATCTTTTTCGCAAGATCCCTACCATTGATTCTTTTCTGACCATACTGTCGTCCGATCCAACCTTCGAATCTCGGTCGCTCATCACTGCTCGACGTCACCAGTCGCGAACAGCTCCAGTTTCACTCTCCCCCTCTCAATACCCATGCCCTCGAGCACCAGTCTCACCTTGAGCATCCAATCTCTGGGCCCACAGACATAATACTCGGTTCTATTGTCGGCAAGGCCGAGGTCCTCCTGAGGCAGTCTCGTCAGGTCGAGGTGCTGCTCGAAGTCGTATTCCTGTCCTTTCTGGTCGCCTGGCTTGACCTCGTTCAGAAAGATGTGCGCACTGACATTTTCCCGCTCGCGGGTGAGGTTTCGGATGTGCTTGGCAAAAACCAGACTGCCGCTGTTACGCGCCGCGTGTACCCACTTAACCGGCCGGTTTGGCGTCTTGGACTCGGGGCCCAGTACCGTGTTGAGGATGGACATGAGCGGGGTTGCGCCGACGCCTGCCGAGAGCAGCACCAGCGGGACATCCGCCTTGTCAGCCTGTGCCGTGTCGAGGAAGAAATCACCCTGCGGGTGAGACACCTCGACCTCGTCGCCGGCCTGGTAGCTGTCGTGCAGCAGGTTGGAGACTAGACTGGGCACCAGACCCTTGTTAGTGTCGTCCTGTGGCGCGTTGACGACTGTCGCCTCGCGCTTGACGCTGATACGGTAGTAATCGCCCCTGGAGACGGCATCGCTGAGACTATATTGCCTCGGCTGGGTAATGCCGCCCAGCTGTGGCACGGGAACTCGGACGGAGATGTACTGGCCGGGCAAGTACTTTGGCAGAGGCAGTTTACCGTCCGAGGGAGCGAGGTAGAAGCTGGTAACGGAATCGGATTCGTTGATGCGACGGATGATGCTGAACTTGCGCCAGTCGGTCCAGGGATCGGCCTCGCGGTACATTTCACTCTCGCGACCGACAAAGACCTGAGCGAGCTGGGCGTAGGCCGCGGTCCAAGCCTCGGCGATCTCGGGAGTGAGGGCGTCGCCTAGGACTTCACCAATGGCCTTGATGAGGTGGGTACCGACGATGTCGTACTGCTCGGGGCGGACGTACAGAGAGGCATGCTTGTGGGCGATGCGCTCCACGGCGGCCTTGAGCTTGGGCAGGTCGTCGATGTAGGTGGCGTAGGCGAGGACAGACTGGGCAAGTGCCCGGGGCTGCTCGCCCGAGGCCTGGTTGCGGAGGCTGAAGATGTTCTTCAACTCTGGGTGAGTGTCGATCATGTCTTTGTAGAAGAGCGCCGTGATGGTCTCGCCGTGCACCTTGAGCACGGGTGCCGTCGACTTGACGATGTTGATCTGGTCTTGGGTGAGGCCCATTCTGGCGTCTGACGCGGAGAACAATCAGCCGATGCGCTGAGCAGGACGAGCCGGTTGCGGCAGGAGGCGGGATGTCTTGAGGGAGAAGTACAACATGCACTGAAGGTGAGAGTCGCAAAGGTGTCTGTTAAGATGACGACGTTGACGATATGCTGCAGCAAATTTGCGCGGGCAGTCGGGAGTCTGAAGTCTTCTTATGGTCTGTGTGTACGCATGAAGGGTCGGGAAGAGTGTCTGATATCTTTGTCTGGATACTGAGTTCTTTCGTGTCGTTTCAGAAAGCATGGGAGGGCCTCCCAGCCAGGTTTTTATCTTACACAAAGCTGCTGCCCGCGACGGGTTGCACCGTCTCTTCATGGGACGACGTGGGCCATTTCGACAAATATCCGTCACCTCGATGGTCTCTCCGCGGCGATTCCCTCACTCGCTCAGCGGCGCGAGAGGCCACTGGATCGTCTCTCTCTCTCTCTGGCCTCCACAAAAAAAAGCCATGATCCTCTTGCTGATGGCCTGACCTGATATCGGGGATGCCCACACCCGCTCGTTGTATAGATGTTGCATCTCCGCGGGGTGGGGGGAGGCGGCACCGCGTGCACACGGCGGGGATGTCCAACGGCCGGGGGGTCACCCCATTCCGTCTTTGACGACTCGGCCGCCTTGGGTGAGAGTGACTTGCTGGCCTGCAAGACAGTTGCGTCACTCTGGAGGCGGCAACTCCAACTTCTCCACCGGCAAATGAAGTGCCGTTTGTTGACATTACTACTATACAGAGACTGCGGTCGGCCTACAATACTGACACAAAAAGACATCAGATGCTAGAGCGTCGATACTTCACATGCCAACGATTCCAACGTGCTCCGTGCTCTGAGCACCGGCAGATGCGACGCGAGCTGCAATATGGTTTGACACCTCGCGTTCGCGCGGTCTGAGGGTTTATGCCTCACTCGAGGCTAAACCCAACGAATGCAGAGAGAGAGAGAGAGAGAGAGAGAGAGCGCATCAGTGGTTCCCGACAGCGCGCTAAAAAGCCGGCTATCAAAGCCGAGTCCATCCCGACACGGTCGGAGAAGTTGGGACCGCAGACGAGGTGTCAGACAGTAGACGTATTGACTGTAGTATACATAGCACAATGGTTGTGAGCCGACCACGAGATTCCCCTTTTGGCGTTGACGTCCGAGGACAAGAATGCAATACTTGGATGAGGCACTTCTGTCTGGGCTGTTTGTCTGAGCCGTCAGTATCGCACCCGCCGGACGGACGAGCGAGCCAAGGGATGGCAGAACACGAGGTGTGCAGAGCAAAGACGGGCCATCTTTCCACAAACAAGAAGACACGAGGCGGCACTGGGCTCAAAAGACAAATGTCGCACCGGCACTGCCGTGAGAATCGCTCGTGGGCGCCGGTTGTGCGACGCAACACAGCCAGAGACATTTTGCGTCGCTCGTCGATTGCAATCTCGCCTAGGCGAAGCGGTTTGGGGGAGGTTTAACAACGGGTCTACACTATTTTTCCTGTTCCAGCGCCCCCCCCCCCGTCACCCTCGCGGCTCATCTATGCGCGTCCCGTAGCGTCGCTAGCCGCATGGGCAATGTCTCCTCCTGGTCTTGCGCCCTTGAGACTCGTCGCCGCTAGCAGAGAGTCACTCAGAGGGCTCGAGAAGACAAGACACTCCGGGCAGTCGATGATGCAACAAATAAAATAAAAAAGATGGAGACAGATCGGCGGGGGAAAACATGATCATCAACGAGGAACCCCTCGCTATGGGCGAGACGGACTCACATCACCCCCGTCCTCTTCCTCCCTCTGGATAAACATATCGAACAGGCACGAAAGCAGCGATGATGACAGAACCTGGCCTGACAGCGGGGCGTGCTGAGTGAGCTACATCAGTTCAGTCGAGGCGGTGGTGGTCTACCGGTACAGTCACAAGCCCTGATGTCAGGGTCCCGAACGGGTTCGAAACTGTAAGCGACCCTGTGCTGCATACCCATCTTTACCCCTTCGCCAAACCGGCATCGGCCCCCTTGGATATTTCTAGGCGCTGCGGACGCTAACCCTACTCCAACGGCCCCTAAGCCCCAACCAGGAACAAACACCGGGTTATGCCCAGGCCTAAGAAAACACAACGTTGGCGGCTGACATGGTACAGCGCCGATATACCTAAGTCGAAAAGAGGGAATTCCCGGGACATGTGCTTTCCACCCCCTCTCCCCCATCATTTTGATTTTATTTGCTTTATTCGTTGTGTGTTCCGGCCTTTCCGCGTGCGGGTGAACGCCTCCGCAGAGGTGGTAGAGAGGCACGTAGGGATGGGTGGGAAAGGAAACGGTCCGGAGCAAGAAGCCTTCCTTTCGCATGCCAACCCTTCCATGCCCTCAACCTCGTACCATTCGTGACACACGCGAAAGGGCACAAGAAGAGGGAAGGAAAGGCTCAAGACGCCGTCCTCCGCTCAGAAATCAGCCAGGGCGGTTACGGGGTAGGTGTTCCGATCGCCAGCGGAAAGGGATCCGAGTAATCCTGCATGGGCACGGGATCCATGCCGGTGGTCCGACAGTTTTCATGGGGGGGGGGGGGGGGGGGGACTCAACCACTCGCTGGGAAACCAACCCTTTACGAATAAGAAGGGCGCACGCGGCTCAGCCCATGATGCCACTCTAGTCCCGCCCTTCCATACCTCGCAGGTCTCGCTATAGCGAGATGTCCGAGGTGCGAGCTGTGAGCTCGTCGAGCACCAATCCGCCCGTTGGAGTCTAGGTTTGCCGGTCACCGTGTGGACCGTATCATCGGGTCTACCCGTTCCAAGGAGGCGAAATTTGGAGACGGAGGGGGCGGTGGTGGGTGGGGGACTGACTGGATTTGGCAACTTTGGACGAACTCGAGGTCTACATCTCCGCGGCGCGATCACGGGCTGACAAACGGGGAGAAAGGGGGCTTCGTCATCTTGGGCCAGACAACGTACGAGCTTCCTTGTGTGGTTACTACACGTCTCGGGCGCGGCCGGGCCAGTCGCGAGAGTCTTTTCCGTCCAAGGAGCTCAGGGCGACGATGCCTTCTCCGCGGGCCGTCAGAGCATGCACGCATCGGCCATGCTGGGTTGGAAGACCATCAAGACCACGGGCGGGGGGCGGTGCGAGCTTGTCCCATGCCTCGTTCGTGAGGCCGCTTCAGCGGAAGAGGAGGAGGAGGAGGAGGAGGAGGAGGTCCCTAGGGGCGGGTGGAGGGATAGATATCTCGCCAGACGGTGAAAACAACCCTCTCCCCGGCTTTGGCCTCGACGAGAAGGAACTCCCCATCTCCAAAAGCCATGGGTCGATCGTCACGCTCTTGTTGTCACAGTGTCGTTGCCCACGAACTATTACATTGCCATGGCATCTGCCACAGACTTTGACGAGCACGTCGCATTCGCAAACGGTGCAGACGACCGCTGATGTAAACAACGGCTAAAAATAAAATAAAAAATAAAAGAATGAAAAGTATAACACGAAACTCAAGCCGCCAGTTCGCGTATAGTCAAGCATGAACAGCCCGCCCGACCGTCTTTACACACTCCTGGGCTCCCAGTCCCAATACCCGACGTTGGCGCCGCCCGGGCGCCACCGATCGAGCATGACGCTCCGGTTGTGGCAGCTCGGCCGGAAGTGGTCCTCCAGGTAACCGAACGGCCACATGGCGATGAAGCAGACCTCGCCAACGCCGCACCCGGGCTTGCACCTCTTCCAGCCGGTCCACCCGAGGTCCCTCTTGAGCGCCTTGATCGCCGCGCGGCCCCGCCGGACCGCGTCGCCGAGCTTCTCGTCCTCGTCGCCGTCGCCGTCGCCGTCGCCGTCCCGGGCAGCCGCGACGACGGCTTGGATATCGGCCTGCGAGAAGGCGCCGGCCAGCGCGGGCGCCGCTTCGAGCACGAGGCCGCGGACGCCGAACAGGTCCCCGCAGATGCGCTCCGCGACGGCGGACACTGCGGCGTGGAGCATGCCGTCCTCGGGCGTCCACTCGTCCCTCCACACCCTCGCCGGCGCGAGGTGGCTCGCGGCGCACCGCTCCTTCGCGTCCTTGACGTAGCCTTCCTCCTCTCCGCGCGCCGCCGCCGCCGCCGCCGCCAAGTCGGACGCGTCCCGCGGGTAGTCCACGAACGAGTTCGTCACGATCAAGACCTGGCCCAGGAACGCCTCGTCCCCGCCGTCTTCGCCCTCGTCCGCCAGCGCCTCGATGCGGTCGGCGTACCGCGAGACCATCATGTCGACGATGCCCTGCCAGTCGACCTTTCCCCCTGCCCGCTTCGCCCCTTTGACGATCTCCTCGACCCTCCCGAGAATCACCGCCCTCTCCCCGTCCGCGGGGTGTCCCAACCTTGGCATGTCCCTCCGCCCGTTCGGGTTGGTCACGTTCAGGGGGTACCAGAGCGCGCTCACCATCCCGCCAAAGTCCAACCTCACTCTCCCGGCCCCGATGCCGTCGTACCGCTGGCCGGCGGCCCTCGCCCACTCGAACAAGTCCATCCCGTGCTCCCCCTCGACCTGGTCCGTCCACGGGCGCCTCAGCACCGAGACGAGGTCCAACCCGTCAAAGAAGTCGCAGTAGATGGACTCGAACCCGATCTCCATCCTGATGACGCCGTCGAGGCCCCACGCCTTGACAATCTTGCAGATGTCTCTGGCGCGGTCGAGCTCTCCGAACCCGGGCGCGTCGTCGAACCCACGCAGCAAATAGTCCTGCGTATCCAGCGTGCCCATGGCCGTCTTTCCCGCGCTCATGCCGTCGATGTACAGCAGCTTCAGGTCTCGGTTCGCGCGGTACGTGTGGAGGTACCCCCGGACGGGTCCTTCTGGTCTCCCAGGCCTCCCGGGACCCTTCGGAGGCCTCTTGTCGTCGTCGTCGTCGTCGTCGTCGTCCTCCCCCCCGAGAGGTTTCTGTCCTTGAACCGTCGGGTCAACCGGCCGGCCGCCGTGTGGACCCCCACCTCGACCCGGCGGCGGGCGGCGCCCCCTCCAGCTCCTGGCAAAGTTCTCGGAATGCTCCATTTCGAATGCGAGCCACTCGTAGCCCTCGGGCGTGCTGTTGGAGTTGGTGCCGTGGTACATCAGCGTACCCTTTGGCACCGTCGCGGGGATCAGCCCCATGCCGTTGTGGTACACCGAGGACCCCCACTGCCGCATGGCTGAGTGCACCTCGTTGAAAACGTATGCGGCATTCTCGCGAGCGTGTTCGGGGCTCGGCGCGAAGCCGGAAGGTGACGACGACGACGACGATGATGGCGGGTATGCGTGGGACTCGTCCGAGTGTGGTTGTCGCAGCGAAAAGGGCTCGGCTGACACGAGGCCGGCTGTGGTCGGAGATAAAGCCACGCTGAACAGCGCCAAGGCGCTGACCGAGATCAGGTGGACCATCTTGGTTCACTTATTGAATCGTAGCGTTTTTAGCCTTTTAAACGCAAAGAAACCACCCGAGCAAAACGCCAAAGGATAAGCAGGATTGTCTGGTCACCGGGGGAGGGGATGAGTGAGGAATTAAACCGGCAGAAAGGTGGAAAGATTACGTACCGTCTGTTTGGCTTATCAGCCGAAAGGATCGATCCATCTTGTTTGGCGACCAGAAAAACCAGGGTCGAAGGGACTTTTTGCATATGCGTGGCTAGTCACGCCAACTAACTGATTCGCGGTGACACTCGAGATGTTGTAGCGGGACCTTCCGGCCAGGGGGGGGGGGGGGGGGGGGGGCAGGCTGTGCCTTCACACGCTGTCACGGGTGACTCACCTGTCGTCACCCCGGCGCTCACTCGCTTTGTTTGATGCCACGTTTGAACACTTTCTGCGAAACATCCGTTTACGTGGTGGAACTCGCCCAATAAACAAAATAACTCGGCGACGGCTGAGATACGTAACACTAACACCGCAGCCGCATTATGCAAATCAGTGGGGTTGCGCATCTTCATCTAGCAAACATCTCTCTCTCTACGTCCAAGCATCACGCCGTCGCAAAACCAACCCTCTTCCATGACAAGATCCAAATGTTCCGACTCCGCCCACAGAATCGCATGACATCTTAATGCACTAGATAGTCGCTCGGGGTTTGCGTCCTTCTACTGACCCTTCTCGCCGTCCTGGCCATTGGGATTTCCAGAGACAACGGCAATGTCCTTCTTCTGCGTGAACTGCCGCGGCAAACGGTTCTCCCCTTCCGTGTAAGGTTTGCCGGCTTCCTCCCGGGCCATGTCGTTGACCCAGCGCTCATCACCGCGCAGCCCGGGCCTGACACCCACTTCGGCCCATTTGGCGGCAAGGTAGAACCAGCCCAGTGCGTTTCCGACTGTACCCACCTCATCGCTCACGCCTGTGGCAGCAGCGTGACTCATCTTCCTGTGCAACTCGTCGTCGGTGAAGAGGTCTACGAGGTGACCTGCCACGGTCTTGTAGTCACCGGGCTCAACCAAGAAGCCATTGACATTGTCCTTGACCTGGAGGGGGATGCCACCTGCACGGGTGGCAATGACAGGCCGGCCGGCATGCAAAGCCTCAGAGACCTTGACCTCGAAGCCTTCGCGGGTGGAAAGCTGCAGGACAACGTGAGCATTAGCGATGACCGTGTTGAGAACCTGATCGTTGGGATCGAGGCGCATGATGCTGCAGTCATTAATCAGCTGCGGGTAGTGCTTCTCGAGCTGGTTCATGGTCTGGTCATAGATCAAGCTGGCATCAGGATCGTCGATAGAGCCATTCCCGCAGACGACAAGCTGCGGGATGCTAGTCTCGCCCTTTTCGTCCATCAGACGCCGAAACTCGGCGTAAGAGTCAATCACGGTGGGGATGCCCTTGGAGGGGTCGAAGCGAGCCACCTGAATAATGTACTTGCGGGCTGGCCACTGAAGCTCCGTCATTCCCTGGTTGCGGCAGGCAGTGTTGTAGATGTGTCCGTAGTAGCCCGTGTCCCACTTGTTCAAATGCTTGTTCAAGCCATCCAGCCAATCGGTCGTGGCTGGGAGGTAGACCACCTTCTCCCGAGACACCGTGTTTGGCACAAACATGGGGATGGGATGGCTAATAAACATGTCGGCATGCTGAATGTTGCTCCACAAGAAGCGCCAGATGTCTTCCTGAGGGGACCCGGCTTTTGCAGTCAAGTCGCTGCGGATCTGGATGTGGGATCTGTAAAGGACGGGCCGGTCGGGTGTAATCTTCTTGATTAGTGGGATCAAGCCGGGCATCTGCGGGTCGTCAATCTGGACGGCGCACACATGTCAGCCGCAGTTCACAACCGAAGCCCCGGAATGTCTGATGCACAGGAACCGCATTCTGATGCGGATGGGGGCGGGGCGGTCCCTGATAGAGGAGAGCTCGTGTGGAGATCATCCCACTTTGAATGCACCCCATGGAGGGGCAGTCGGTTCTGCGCGTGAGGGGAGGGGCAGGTAGGTTTGGAGGTGACGGCTAGGGAGAGCGGGGAATTGGATTGGAGAAAGCTCACCATGACCACGTCGGCACCACCCTCTTCGGGAGGTCGCAGAGGGCCTCCCTCTGAAAGCCAGTAGCGGTTGGCGTTGTCCGTGATCCAATCAATAATGGACTGCTTCTCCTCGGCCGAGACGCGCTGATCTGGATGGTTGACTCCCTGGAGGATGTTGTGGATGTTCTTGGTGACCCTGAAGACGCCGGGCCTGGGCTTGGGCACTAGCTATAATGTCAGCTCCATACGATTTTCCGCGGATCAAGCAGTCATCTTCCCTGCTGGATAAAAAAACGTACCATACCAAGTCAGATCAACGCCGATGAGACGCGCAAACCGGACGAGGGCGTGCCGCATCAAGGCGACACCACCTCCCTGCGGGGTACTACTGAAGAAGGCGATCTTTATCTTGTTCGCGCGAAGCTTCTTGGCATAGAACATGGTGGCATCCCAGGTCGAGGCGCCGCAAGTGTCCTTGTGGTTCTGAACCGTGTTGAGCTGCACGCGGAATCCGGCGTCGGTCTGGACAATGCCTCTCCAGCCAACCTGGAGCAGTGGAACCAGTGAGGGACCAAAGTTCCTGCAGATGAGCTCTTAGCGGTTGGTTCTGTCGAGTTGTGAAGTGCTGATTGAGAGGAGGAAGGCGTCTTACATGATGCACTTGCGAGCCATCGAGTCGGCTTGCTCGTCAACGCGCTTAATGTCCCAGAAGCTCTTCTCCTTGTGTTCGTCATCGGGGCGCAAGACAACAGGAACAATGTCAAGGTCCAGCCATAGACGAGAGCACAGAGACTGGCTCATGTATTTGAGGGTCGTAGGAAGACCGGCACCGATGAACTTGGCGAAGTTTGCATGTTCGTAATCCTCGAGGGTGTTGATGACATAGTCGGCAATGGCGTCGTTGCCTGTTTGTGTGGCATCGTCAAGATTGATGTACTTAACCGTGAAGTCGACCAGGTAGACGGTGTCGTGGATTGCCAGGGCGATAACGGCGGTGTGGGAGTCAGCAAAGACGGCCGAGATACCACAATAGAGAGTCTATCAGGCCCGTGTTAGTTGAGGAGAGGTCTTGGGTCGGGCCGCGATTTGGGACGTCGCCTCAACGGATGTCATCACACTGGACAACTATAACCGCCAGAGGTGCGGTTCAATGGGTTCGGGGAAGGTTGCAGCTCAATTTCCGGAGCGAAGCTGGAAAAGCGGTGGACAAGACGGCGGTACTGAGGCATACGAAGACGGGGAGGGGAGTCGACGATGGAACGGAGACGGTTGATGACTTACAGTAAGAGCTGGGCCAAAATGATTGCCCGCGTCATGCATAGTGCTCATCTGCCTCCTTCGGTGCGCCGAAGCGCCAAAAGAGAACTGACGGCCTGGCTCCTTTGGGGTGGCCATGACGACGAGGTTCAATTGCGTGTGCAGAAAGATGAATTGGTGTTGAATTGATAATTGGGACAGAGGAACCGAAGGGGAGCTCAATTGAATGATCTATGGCATTAAACCCGCAGACTTGAGGACAATAACGAGAGGCAGAATCAGAAGAAACAGAGGCGGATGATGCACGGGTTTTGTTCTTGAAGCCAGGATGGGGCGTGGCGGACTGAGAACCGGCGAGAGGGAAACGAGGAAGGCGAACAAGGACCACGGCATGGGACAAAGCTGTAAGCAAGGTGATGAGCAAGGAGGGGAGGAGGGGGTGATGTCCGTACTGTACGACGGTAACAATGTAGGAAGGAGCACGGACAGGAAGGCAGGCAGGAAGGCAGGAAGGCAGGCGAGGGTGGTTGCCCATGTTGTTGGGGAAGCCACCATGGGACGATCCTGCCGTGTCTGCCGACAAGCAGGAGACGACTCTGACGGGGGGGGGGGGGGGGGGGGGGGAAGAAAGGATAGGAAATGGGCGCGCCTGGAGTCGAGTCTAACTACCTTCGCTGAGATAGGCGAGGTACTCCGTTCCGTATACATGATTGAAGCTTGGAAGAGACAAAGCACCCGTATAATTATGCAGTTTTGTTCTTGGAAGACCTGTTTGACATCACGCAACCAAGCTCACTCCTGACCAAAATGAGGAAGCTGGGGGGAAATGGTGAAAAACAAAAACAAAAGTAAAAATAGAAATAAAATTCAAGTCTACAGATAGGTACCTTGCCATGTGCACAACACGCATTGACATGCAATAACCTAGGTCGAGAGAATAGGTAGAAGTGAGAAGGGCCCTTTCACGACCGGTACCTTCGGGGCGGGTAACGGCCAAGCGGGGCCGGCCGCGAACGGTCAGCTAACGTCAGGTCACTGTCACCCAGGAAAGGAGCGTACCTTGGTACGCAAGGTACCTACCTACCGGTACCTACCTACCTTGCCCAAGTGCTTACCTAAGTAGGCAGGTATTTGCCTCGGTAAGGTGATGCCTCGCCTCATCTCGTCATTTTCCACCCAAAGCCCAGGTCTGTCTGGTTTTGGGGGGATGCCGTAATATTCATTCGTGTCCAAGTGTCACCTTTCGGAAGCTCGTATGCAGCGGTATTGCAGGGAAAAACAGTCGGCCATGTCCCTGTCGTACGAGCACGCTGAGCTACTCGTACTCATCATACCTACATAGCTACAAACCTAACGTGGAACGCCACAAGGCGAGGGCGAATACTGCTGAGGAAAGCAATCCTTGCTCTGCTCTGCACGTGTATGTAACCGTACCTTAGTCGTCCCCTCCGCACTTTGTTGGTCCCTTGTCCGTCTCAGAGCCATGCGGTTGAGCTATCAGCCCGGTACTCGCTGTTACACGACTCCGTCCGACCCCGTATCAAATGTGGTTCGAGGAGGTCGGGGCTGCTGATGAGCGGTAGCATTGCAGCAATGAGGCTTATGCCCGAGACCGCATGTTACCTAGTAGTGACCCTGCATGCCACATTTTGGGCTCCGAGGCAAGGTACCTACCTATCTACCTACCTACCTAGGTACTTAGACTTTACCGGGCACTCTGGTAGGTAGGTAGTTTTGGATTCACTAGGTAATATTCTTATTTCCTTATACGTGTAGGTCCGTCCACCCATATGGCTTTTTATCGCAACGTCTTTGGAACGTCATCAGTCCATCGACGGCAAGTACATCCAGCGGCACCTTCTCATTTCCGAGCCGCCTGCCGCCTGCCGCCTGCCGCCTGCCGCCTGCCGCCTACCGCTTCCTCCTGCCGTCATACAGGCAGACAGACAGACGAACACTTCCACACACACGCCCCCCCCCCTTTCAAACCAACGCGCCTTGGCCGCCGCCACAGCGCCACCCGGTGATGGAAGATCAATTTATTCTCTCTTCACCATTCTCTCGAGGAGTGAGCATACGACACGCCCATCGCCGTTGAACACTTGAAGTAGCTCGTCAAGGACCCAACAACTATCTAGACACCAAAATTCGGTCCTCTCACACAGGTGGCAGGCACTCTTGCACCTCCTAGCGCATGACGGCGGGCTCCGTCTCTCCTCGATGCTTCAGCTCGTCGACGTCGCATTGCCATCTCCCCTCCCTCCCCCTCAATGCGCAACCAACCCGAACGGCCGGATCAGTCACGCATGCACTCTGCTCTATCGACACCCTGGAAAGAGTCGGTGAGAAGACAGCCCACCCAGCCCGCATTGCTCAGCCTTGAGAATCGTACGGCAAGGTGCCAAAGACCATTCCTACTGGGCTACCGCACTCAACCACCCTACTGCCAATCACACCACACCCACTCTACGATGGCGGTCCTCTCTGAGCTCTTTTGTTGCATTATCACAAGGAAAACATGGCAAAGTCTTTGCAACAGCTCGAAAACCCGCGCACTTCCTCGACCCCTACTCGACGGGCAATCATTCTCGTTGCACGACGCTGGCTACAGCAAATGCCGAGATGGACAATGATCAAGTCTGCCTGACACCACATTCGAGCTGCACCCGCCCCTCAACCTTTTGCCCTGCCGCCCAGCTCGCTCCACGGCCAGGTACTCGTGCACCCCCGACATTACTCTGGCGCGGAAACGCATGCATGTACAGCAGTAGCTCCGCCTGCAGCTAACTCCATCACAACACCAACCCCTCACCCCGCCATGCAGTGCAACAAGGGCCGTTATTTGGTTTCGAAAACCATATTTTCGGCCGTGGGGGGCCTCTTCGTTCTGGGGTAGGCTTAGGTCGTCGTTCACACTGCACGACACGGAACGAGTTGCACCAGAGCGCATGACAACACAGCATCCTATCATTCAATCTCCAATAAAGCATGAGAAACGCTGTAAACCCGATTGCCGATGGGCATGTTGAGGGTCGTCCTTCATGAACCGAGCCCTCTGCTGTGACAAGTACGAGTACACAGCCGAACCAACTTCGGCGCCCGATCGGACAGAAACATGTTCCTTTCTTATTAGGTTCTATATATCGCTTTATAAGTATTAAGGGCTTCAAACCCTTGGGCCAAGATCAAATGATGCGCCTTAGTTACCATGGTATCTCCGACCGGTACTCCTAGTCAAGGCCCTTACTAACCGCAAACCAGCAGCCCATCAAACAGAAACCCCTCGCCGAAACACCAGTGTGAGGAAAACATGTGACTGAATTATAAGTTGTGCGGTTTCTGGCCGAGGAGAATGTGGAAGTAAACATAGGAATGCACCGAAGGGTTCTCGAGGTCTCTTCGCACCTCGTCCAGGAAGCTCGCGACCTCGCCGTGAGACCACTCCAGGATGTCGACGAAAGGGCGAAGCGTGATGGCCTCGAGGCCCTCGTATACGACGTCTTGTGTCAGCATGCCGATGAGCTTCTTGATGTCGTCCTTGGGCCAGGGTCCGACGGGCACCTTCTTCACCGTATGCCGAATGTCGACGAAGCCGGCGTCGCGGAGGCGCGCCGGGTTCCGCTCTGCGGCGTGCATGTCTGTGTCAACGCGTCGCAGGGCCTCGTCAAGGAGCTCGACCATGCGGGCGGGGCCGTAGTCGGCGGGCATGGTGTCGTCGTCGCAGCCGTACGTCCAGCGGAACTCGTGGAGCTCGATCCAGCCGCCCGGCTTCAGAGACCTGTTCGCGGGGTTGGAAAAAGGTTGCCTAATCAAGGGGAACAACCGGCAGGGACTGAGAAGGAAGAAGAACATGGAAGTTGGCGAGGAACAGAACGTGATGCCTTACGTGTATGCGTTGCGGAACAGTTTCGGCCAGTCGCGGATCGACGGGGCCATGTTTCCCAGGCGGACAAAGTCCAGCGTATTGGGAGGGTCGTTCCACTCGTCTTCGGCGTCGTCGATTATAAAGCTCACGTTGGGCGGCTGCATCAGGAGCTGAATAGGGCTCAAGTCTAGACCGATAACGGCGGCCCCGGGGTACTTGTCGCCCACTGCACGTACATGAGCGATTCAGAATCGCCGATGGTAAGCAACCCGCACAGCCGCAATGTCCACCGCACTCGCAGCACATCACAGCATACGAACAAGTGATTACAAAGGAAAAGGTGAGGACTCACTTTCCTCAACCCAGGCGCCGACGCCCGTGCCGACGTCGAGGATCCTCTGCGGGTTGCGGAGCGGGGCGTAGTGCAGACGGACGCCGCAGAGGAGCACCATGGCGTCGTGTTTCATGAGCTCGCGGCGCTGCTCGGGAGCGTCGTTGGGGAAGGGGTAGCGACCTTCGCGAAAGCGGTGGAAGCTGCGACCGTGCTTGTAGACAAAGTCTGTGACGCTCGGCGTCAGGGAGTAGATGTCGTCTCCCGCGACGGCGTCGGAGGCAGAGGCGTAGCCGTCGTCCTCGTCCTCGTCGTCGTTGTCGCCGTCTCCGGAGACCATTACCGCATCATCGTTCATGGTCGGAACGAGGGGGGTGGGGGCGGCGGCGGCGGCAGCGGCAGCGGCCGCGGCGGGTACAAATGTGGCGCCGTGGAGCTGGTGGATGGTTCGCGGCGGGTTGGCGCCGGTGCCCAAGGGCGGAGGGCGGGATGCCATATTTCGGGTTCGAGCGGCGCAGGAACGCGGCGAGAAAGGACCGCAACAAGAGGTGAGTAGGAGTGATTTGCGGTTGTCGTACAATTAAACTTGACACTAAACACCGAGAGATGGGGGAAAAGAGCGGTGGGGAAGTTGAGACGATCCCCTGCTCCCCCCATTCAGTCAGAGGAGAGAACATGTTCGCTCGGTCGCTATGTCTATTGGAACATGGCCCCCTGGCTCTCTCTCTGGCTGTCCCTGGCCGCCACCTCGTATACGGAACCGTCGGCTTTGGAGGAGTTATATCTCTCATCTATGGGATGGGTTGGGTTGTTTATGCCATTTCCACATGTCAACATTCATCCTCCCCCGCGTCTCTATCCTCACCTTTTCATCCAGAGCGACAGCAGGGCAGCGTCCGGGTGGTCTCTCTCGTACTTGCAGGCCAGGGCGAGGTTCAATCTCGATCCAGGCTTGGACAGTTTTGGTTCGTTACGTGACTCGCCAGCGACAAGTCTCCATCGAACTATCCTTAAGGTTTGAGAGCTGCAGATAATAGGCTATAGCCATGCTCTGAACCAAGAAAAGGAAATACCCGGTACGATACCGTACCTTGCTCGTTTCCTTTGAATCCTTGGCAGAGGAAAGTTAATCCATTCGACTTGGCCACTGAACTTGGAAGAGGCCTGCCTGTGGCCGTGGGTTGATGGCAGGACTATGAGAAAGGGAAGACCCTTTCCCCCACCTTCACCTTCACCTCCGATTTTTTTTTTTTGCTACCCCGCACTACCTTTTGTATAGACACTAGGGCCGAGAAGAAGGGGGGGGGGAGGTAAAAATCTGAACGTTAATCATTCAACCCAGACCAGCCCGTCTCAACCTCTTGTATCTCTCTCCATTCCTCACTCCCTCCCCCCACACACACTTGTGAAAAAGAAGCTCTAGCCACATCGTGGAGGGGTTCGGCATTGAACCCGACATCCCCGACATTTCTGACGGAACCCATCCTCGTCGGACGCCCATCATCCCACCACAATGGAAGAGCTAGTGCGCTGGGCCACATCCCACGGGGCCGCCCTCCACCCCTCGGTCGAGGTCTACGACGACCCCAACACCGGCAACTCCTTCCGCGCCTCCCCGGGCGGCCCCGGCGTCAAGCCGGGCGAGACCGTCGTCACCTGTCCCATGGACCTGACGCTGTCCTATCTCAACGCCATCACCACCCCTAGCCCGGGCTTCCATCACGAAAACAATAAGGACGACGGTGACGACAACGACACCACCGACTCGTCAAGCCCCTTTCCCCCTGCATTCCTCGCCTCCGTCCCGCCCCACGTCATCGGCCGTTTCTTCCTCATCCACCAGTACCTCCTCGGCAAGGCGTCCTTCTGGCACCCCTACATCAGCACCCTCCCCCAGCCCGAGCACCTGCAGTCCTGGATCCTCCCGCCACTCTGGCCCTCGGATGACATCGAGCTGCTCGAGGATACAAACGTCCACGTCGCCGTCGCCGAGACCAAAGCGCGCCTCAAGGCCGAGTACAAGCACGCCGTCGCCGCCCTCGGCGACGACAGCGCCGCCGCCCGCCGCGGGTACACCCGCCTCCTCTACCACTGGGCCTACTGCATCTTCGCCAGCCGCAGCTTCCGCCCCTCCCTCGTCATCCCCGCCGCCCGCAAGGCGACCCTGGCCCTCCCCGAGGGGTGCGCCGTCGACGACTTCTCCCTGCTCATGCCCCTCCTCGACGTCGGCAACCACGCCCCCACGGCTGCCGTCACCTGGGACACCGACGCCGGCGGGAACGGCGCGTCCAACTCGTGCGCGCTGCGCACGCTGGACCCCTACGCGCCCGGCGCCCAGGTCTTCAACAACTACGGCACGAGCAAGACCAACGCCGAACTGATGCTCGCCTACGGCTTCTGCGTCCCCGAGTCCGCCGGCCTGCACAACGACTACGTCCACGTCCAGAAGCGCGGGGCCGCTGCCGCTGCCGCTGCCGCCGGGGGCGCCGACGCCGCCAAGGCCATGGACTACCTCATCTCCCTCCGCCCCGTCGCCGACCCGAGCTCCGCGGCGGCGAGGGCCGTGCGGATGCTCGCCGACGTCGACGGCGCGAGGGTCCTGCCGCCGTTCCGGCACGTGCAGGACACCATGGTCTGGGACCTGGTCCTGGCGCAGACGACGGCCGAGCAGCGCGAGGCCATGCTCCCCGTCTCCGAGGCCGCCGGCGCCGACGCGGACCTGGAGCGGCTGCGGAAGGTGCTGACGGGGGACGCCCCCGCGGCTTTCCGGCCGGTGCTGTTCCAGACCGTCGCCATCATCCAGGACAAGGTCCTCCAGGAGCTCGAGCGGCTGGACCAGTCCGAGTTCGAGATGGAGGAGGCCGGGGCGACGCGGAACCAGCTCATGGCATATCACTACCGCAGACAGTGCAGAAAGGTCCTGGAGAACGTGCTCGAGTCCATGGTGTTGCCCGAAGAGCTCTCATAGATTTTTTTTTCCATGGTTGTCTTTTTTTTTTTGTCTCTTCTTCTTTCCAATTTCCCTCCTTTTCTCGGTTTTCTTCTCCTTCTTCTTCTTCTTCTTTTATTCCTTCTACCTGCGCTTAGAAGAAGATGTGTCCGGTGTACTCTATGCCTGCTGCCCGAGAAGCCGGCCGTAGACGGCCCTCTCCAGCTCGTCGTACAGCCTGGTCACGACCGGGTCGCCGTGCGGTACGGTCTGCACGATCAGTGCGGCGGCGACGCCCGTCTCGCGGTCCATCCACCAGTGACTGTTACACATGCCGCTCCACTGCAGGCTGCCCTTCCTCCGCTTCCCCGGCGCGTCGCTCATGTTGAGGCACCCGGCCAGGCTGTGGTTGAGCTCCATGCCAGGGGCGAACTCGACGGCGAGAGATCCGAAGAGGTCCGCGAGCTCCTTCAGCATGGACGTCTGCTTCCCGTCCAGCTGCGGGGCGAACATGGCGTCCAGGGTCTCGGGCCTGACGAGCTCGCCGCCCAAGAGCGCGCGCAGGAAGACGCCGTAGTCCTTGGCGGTGGTCCACAGCCCCGCGCCGCCGCTGTCGATGGCGTCCGGGGCGGGGTTCCGCGGGGCCGGGCCGGGGGCCAAAGATGACCCGTCGTCGCCGCGGTACTGCCACGCGGCGGTCCGCTCGGCGACGTGGGGGAGCGCGTCGGGCCAGAATCCCGTGTCCCGCATGCCGAGGGGGCCGAAGACGTTCTCTGAGAGGTACTCGCCGAGCCTCTGGCCCGTGATCTTCTCGAGCACCTGGCCGGCCCAGTCGATGGCCGTGCCGTAGCACCAGCCCTCGCCGGGGGTGAACTTGAAGGGCGTGGTGAAGCCGTCGAGGGTGGCGTCGAGGTTCGTGGCGGCGCTGCTGGTCTTTTGCCGCCACTTCGTGAGGTCGGGGTCGGCGATGTCGTACCCCAGTCCGACGGTGTGCGTGAGGAGCATCCTATAACGTTGGTCAGGCGGACGTTGCTGGTGCAGAAGGGGCCGGGGAGGGGGGGTCGTCGCGAAATATACCTGAGCGTGACGGGGGTGGTGTTGTCTTCCAGGATGGGCTGCTCGTCCCCGTCGAAGCCTCGGAGGATCTGCATGTCAGCGAGCCGGGGCACAATCTTGCGCACGTCGTCGTCGAGGCCGACGGCGCCCCGCTCGACGAGCTGCATGACGGCGGTGCAGGTGATGAGCTTGGTCATGGAGGCGACGAAGGTGAAGGTGTCGACGGCCCAGGGGCGCGCGTCGGCGGCGAAATCTATGCGGCCTGCCGAGCTGCTGTACAATACGTCTGTTTTGGGGGATTTTTGGTTAAAACCCGGCTCGGAACTTGCAAGGGTAATTCGGTTCGGTTCTCGGGCAGGGGACCGTCTCACCATCTTTGTTGACGACGACGAAGGCGGCGCCGAGGAGCTTGTCTTTGGTGTCGTCGCCGGCGGCAGTGTACTTGGCGAGAATCGCATCGAGGGTGGAGGCCATTGCGTACGGTGTTGGGTCGTGGAGCGGCGAGGATGCGTGAATTAAGTGAGTAAGGAGTAGTGGTAGTAACTGACCGAAAGCCAACGCTCTTATTTATGTGAACCAAGAAAATGAAAAGGAGATGCTCGTCAGGGGTCTTGAGAGTTGAGAGACGGTCCCGGGATATGTGTCCGGAGCGGGAGGGACACGGTGGAAGGAAGTCTGGCGGCGCCTGCCGATCCCGGGCGAAATGGAGGCGGCTGCCCCGCACCTGCTTATTGATATGCCCTCGCCTATTTTGGGCAGGCAGGCAGGCAGGCACTTCCTTCCTCAGCTATTTCCTCGTTTACTCTTAAGTACCGAGGTACCTATGGCGGGTACATGGAAAAGTACCTAGTACACCGACGCTCCGCCCGTCGAGTCACCGCAGCGCACTGCTTGGCATATGCGGTCTACAGAGAGCCGCCGGGGGTGAGAAGCGGGCGTGGCGTTTATCAAGGAAACGATGGGATTCGACACCATGACGGGGCTGAATCAATGGTTGGTGTGTGCTGCGCAAACATTATGGCGAGATTCCTTCCGTATGCCGCGTTTACCGAGAGCTGGACCAGTCTTGGTCCTTGGTATGTATCCCAGGCTGTTCATTCACGGCGGTTTCTTTTGGCAACTATGGAGTTGACTAGATCTGGGCAGAGAGAGAGAGAGAGAGAGGTGATTGTCACAGGACCTAGATGCTTGATTGCCGTTTTGTTGTGGCGATGAGATGCAATCGGATGGATATGCTCGTTTGATGCCGGCCAAGTCACCAAGCAAGGCCGCTGAGACATCGGCATGACCGAAGTATCGTTCTTGTCAAGCCAAACATGCCCAGCAGCGCCGCCGCCGTATACGCACAAAGGCAATGTATATATCTACGAAGTTTGTATCACCACATGTAGCGGTACGTCAGCGCCTTGTCACCCTGCCCTGCCAGCTCCTCCGCCGTATATCGTCTATCCTCCCCTTCTGCCATTCTTCTATCGCGCCCCTTGTTGATCCCAATGTAGCTGAAGATGAGAACCAAGGCCGCGATGATGCCGAGAGCGATGAACCCAAGCTCGAGCGCGTGGCCCAGTACGTAATGCGGGCCGTCCTTCTGGCGGTAAAAGTTGGACGCCATCGCCTGTCATCGCGAGGTCAACAAAAATTGGTGCTCAGAGCTGTTGTCCCATATGGGAGACTCACGCCGCCCAAGTTTCCAACACCAATCTGAATGGCCATTCCCGCGCTGCGCTTGTAGCTGCCGGAGAGGTTGTTGGAGAGCCAGCTGATGACGCCGGGGAAGGCAGGGTAGATGCCGCAGGCAGCGATGAAGACGCCGCCATAGACGACCTTCGGGTTCGAACTTGATATGCACCTGTTTTTTGTGTTTTTATTTTTTTCGTCAACGTCGTTCTGAGTCGCGAAACGATTACACCGGGTCGTTCGGGCAGTGAAGAAGAAGAAGAAAAAGCTTACATTGAAAATCCGGCAATCATCACGCACAGGAAGCCGACGATGAACGGGCTTCTCTTGCCCAGCTTGTCGGAGAGATACGCGACAATGACGGCCAGGATCGCGGCGGTGATGTAGATCGGGACCGTCATCAGCTGCGCCGTGCTCGATGTGTAGTTCAGGTTCCGAATGATCGTCGGCAGGAAGAGACTGACGCCGTACAGCGGACACACAACCTAAAAGCACGCGTCAGACTTTTCTTTTCCTTTTTTTTCTCTTTTTTTTTCTTCTTTTTCTTTTTCTTGCCGTGACGACCTCTGGTGGCGGGGGGAGAGTTCTTACACTCCAGTAGACAAAGATGTTGACCCAGATCTGCCAGTCCTTGAAGGCATCCCAGACGTATCTCCACTTGAACTCGTCGGCCTCGGCGACTCGCACGCGGTTATCCACCTTTCCTTGCACCTGCCCCTGATACTTCAACCGGTGGACGACGAACGCGCGCTCCTCCTCGGTCAGGAACTTGGCCGTCTCGGGAAAGTCGTGCAGCGTGAAGAACGCCCCGACGGCGACCAGGACGGTGAGCATGCCCTCCAGGACGAACAGCCAGCGCCAGCCCGCGAGGCCGCCTATGCCCTCCATCTTGGCAATGGCGAAGGCCAGCAGGCCGCTGAACGCGCCGGCGACGGAGGCCGCCGAGAAGAACAACGCCTGCCGGAGCTGTATCTCGTGGCGACAGTACCACATGGTCAGGTAGTACTTGGTTTGGATTGGACAGTCAGCTGCGGAACAACAACTTCAGGAGGGGGGCCGACAGAATGAAGCAAGCGAGCACGCACCGCTACCCCGGGGAACAGTCCGGCTTCGGTGACGCCGAGAAACACCCGGGCTGCCAGTAGCCCTTGGTAGTTCTGCACGATGCCCATCAGGGTCATGACGACGCCCCAGGAGACCATGATGGTGGGCAGCCACACGCTGGGGCGCAGCTTCTTGAGCAGCAGGTTGCTCGGCACCTCGAAGGCCGCGTAGGTGAAGAAGAAGACGGTGAGACACCAGTTGTACTGGTCGGCCGTCATGTTCAAGTCTTCTTGGAGCCCTTCGATCTTGGCGTTCCCGATATTCCCGCCTAGTGTCTCTGCGCGTCAGCTGCAGGCCATGCGGTTGGGGCGCGGGCCAAGTCTCACGGTCAAGAAACGAGAGAAGGTAAAGGAGCGCCAGCATCGGGATGAGCCGGATATCCATCTGCAGAGACGGTCAGACCGTCTTTTTTTTTTTCTTCTTCTTTCATTTTCGAATGGCTGTTTCCCTGTCTCCAAGTTCACGAGCTTTCCAGCAGCCACGGTGCTCTCACCTTTCTCAGGATCTTCTTCTCGTCCAAATGAGCGAACGAGGCGGCCGTCGTGTCCTGGACCGCGGTAACAGCGTCGCCGCCTTCACTCTCGCTCTTCCTCGGCTTTTGATCGTCCAGCTTCGAGACATGGTGCTTCTCGTGGTGCGGGGTAAGGATCGAATCCATAATGAAGTAGGAATCACGCGCTCGCTTCGACACAAAAACCCGATAACGATTCACGCCCGTAGAGTCTTGGGCGCCGCAAGAAGTTGTTGGCCAGAGAGCAGTTTGCAAAGATCCAAGAAGTCGGGGAGGTTTCCGCATGAGATCGGGTTATATCAAAGGCCAGAGCTTTCGGTAGGTCCATACTTCCAATCAAGACGCCGGCTCCCACCCGTTCCGGCAAACGATGGGGACTCTGATGCTTGAGGCGAAAGCTTACCCCGCGTGGCGTCGCCTCGTTCCGCGTGGGAGTCTGGAGGGCGGCGGGACGTTGACCGCATTAAACGGCCTGCGGACCCACTCGTCGACTCGTGCTGAGATGCCGCATTGGACGGACATCAATCCAGGCGTTTCGAGAGATCGACAAAGCGGAGCAGGACGCGGTGAGAAGTCCCTCGGGGGTGAGCCTGATGTCACCTTGGGGAATGCGGGGGAGACGGCGATGGTGTGTTCGGCCCGCGGCTCGGGCAATAACAGGATTGTTTGCCGAATATGCACTTGCATCGTTTACGAGAAACTGAAACCCCGATAACAACCGCCACCTGTCCGTATTTCTGAGTTGGAAAATGGCCGCCAAGTGGATATCTTTGTATAGTTATAGCACTCGTGATATGCGCAGGCGGGGGTGAGAGCCAACCCAATGGTCGTATCGTAGAGACAGCGTGTTCTTTTGTGTCTCACATTAACACTTTCAGAGCTGCAGTTGGAACTGTGAAGTCTGGGATCAACTCACAGTGAACCATGCATAGACGCTAGGAAGCAGTATGGCGTCTCAAACTTTAGAACAATGTAAGGTAATATGTATCAGAGTGACTTCCCAAAGAACGACAGGCGTAGGAAATATAACTATAGGATGCCATCGTTGTGTCAGTATTAGTATTGGGGCCGTCCTCCTGACGGCCTTGTTAGCACTGCTAGGTGTTGCTTATCTGTAACATATCAGATGCATGGATAGGAAGGAATTACACAGCCAAATAAGCCAATTTTGATGTCACGTATATTCAACCACTCACAGTAGTGTTGCAGTAGTCAACGGGGGCCAAGCAACCAAACACGACTGTTTTATCTACGCTTCCACAAATAGGTCCGTCGACAGCAATTGGTCAAGCTATCAGAGCAATCAACATACCTTGGGCCATCAAGTTGCCGGTGATGTGACCGCGAAAGAACCCTTTGATGGTTGTATGTTTGAAGATGTGGAGTAGAAAGTTAGATGATGGAGTGATGGTTGATATTTATTTAGGTTACTTTTGCCCCTTGTCCAGTCTGCCTGTGTCTCTCCATTGATGCTCTATCCTTCCCTTGTGGTGACATGGCCCCTGTACCAAGTAATTTACCAATGTCCGAATGGAATATAGGGGTAAGACTATACGTCTCGATGCATCCTGCACACCATCATATCTATCCCAAATAAGACACTCGCCTTTTCGAAAAGGCGTATGAGTAAATCGCACACTGGGCGGGTTTCTGATCCAATCTCAGAACTGGTATGGCTATCCCAGCTTCGTAATAAGCATAAACGGGTCGTGGAGAACCGATCCACCATCGCGCAACGTTGGCCGTGATCCGTTGCCCTGTGCGATCAAAGTGCACGCCATTATCAGCGGGGCCGACATGGGGATCGAAGGATCTTGCCACCTCGTGTTGTTTTGCGGGGACGCTCCACTCTGGTTAAAGGGGCATGCTTTCTAGCCAAATTGGTTGTTGATGAGTTTTCTTCCATCGCAAACTTCTCTACGGGTGCATCATGGGCTTCGTCAACATGCTCCCGACGGCTGCGGCCACCGCTCTGTTGGCATCGTGCCTGTCCCCCTGCGTGGCGGCAAGCACCTGCAGCGATGCGGCCTTAGCTGCTCCGGCCGCGGCCATAGCTCAAGGAACCGTTGAGGGATTTCGCGACGCGAGCTGCAACTCGGTTTTCCTGGGCGTTCCCTATGCCGCCACGACCGGCGGCGAGAACCGGTGGCGGGCGCCTCAAGACGTCCCAAGGTCGGACGCAACGTTCAACGCGACTTCCTACGGCCCGACGTGTCCCCAGGCCATCTCTGGCGGTCTCTTCAGCCAGCAGGACGAGGACTGCCTGAACCTGAACATCTGGGCGCCCTCGACCGGAGAGGACCTGCCCGTGTTCGTCTACATGTACGGCGGCGCAATGGTCACAGGGTCCAGCAGCAACCCCCAGCTTCAAGGCTCCAACTTCGCTCGCAAGGGGGTCGTCTACGTCAACTTCAACACGCGCGAGAGCATCTTCGCGTCTCCGAACTCGGCAGAGCTGAAGGGGGCGCGTCCCGACGAGTCGCAGAACTTTAGCATCCTGGATGTCGAAAAGGCCCTCGGCTGGGTCCGCGACAACATCCGGGCTTTCGGAGGCAACCCGGACCACGTCGTGTTTGGCGGCCACTCGTCCGGCGCCGTGCAGGTGGACCACTATCTTTGGAACCACCCCGACTCCTGGCTGAAGGGCGCGGTGGAGATGAGCGCAAACGCCGTGTCCGGCCCGGCTTTTGCGCCCGTCAACGAAGCCCTCGATGTCGTCGCCGCCGAAGTGGGATGCCCGAAGGCCGGCGAGGGCCAGCTGGATTGCCTCCGGGGCGTTGACGTGTACGCGCTGCAGACGGCCAACTTCAACTCCACCTCCAACACTTGGTTCACTCCCGCCATCGACAACATCACACGACACTCGGACTATGCCGCACGCCTTGCAGCGGGACAGTACGCGTCGCACGTGCCGTTGCTGACCGGCAACTCGGACGGCGAAGGCACCATCTTCAGTCTCGTCTACGGTGCCGAGAACAGCAACTTCAGCTCGTGGATCAACACCTTCGACGCTGATAGCGCGCACATTGAGGATGCCGTTCTCCTCGAGGCGTACAATGCGTCCGACTACGCGTCAGATTCGCTCCGAAGCGGCGATCAGTATGGAGACGCTCGATTCAATTGCGCCGTCGACTACCTCCTCGACTTGCGTAGCTCTGTGCAGGACACCTGGGTGTACCGCTTCTTCGGGGCATACGACAACGTGGTGGGAGTTCCCGGCACGGCGCCAACGCATGGCACCGAAGTCCCGTTTTTCCACGGCGGCAACGAATGCTTCGCCTCGCTGGCCGGCGTTACGGAGGCGCAACAAGCCCTGGCCGACTCCATACACGACCACTTCGTCTCCTGGATCAAGGACCCGGCTGCTGGGCCTGGATGGGCGAGTCATTCGCCAGAGTCCGGGGCTCTGGCCAAACTGGGGGTTCCCGGAGACGAGCTGTCTGCGGTCCTGGGGTCGACCCGGGAATATAATTCTCGCTGCCAGTCGGTAAGTACATGTCCTGGTCCCTTACTGGACGCTTTTGAAAATACCGTTATCTTGCTAACAAGACCCGACTTCGCAGGTATATAAGCCTGCATTTCCTAAGTACCCAGTTGTTCAATCGGTGGCAGGCATACTGTAAGACCCGTCCTGGCATGTAACATTATGTAGATTCAGGAACCGGACCTCATCACATAGGATTATGTCAGAAACTACACCTGACAGCAGAATATGTACTTGTACTTGGCCCTCATAGCCACATTCATATAACTATAACTATAATTACCTATTGCTAGCTTCAAAAGCCCGAGGTTCTTTGGGCGGGTGTTAATGCTATGCCCGCTTTATTGTTATCGTGTTTTGTACCACGCCCAGGAAAGCGAAGTTGATATACAGAATTTGTGTTATCGGAACGTCTTGCTTGTCGCAAGAAGCCGCGGTGCTATCAAGACCCTGTCATAGGCTACTCGCCATGGATCCTTGCACAGTTTAAGCTCATTGTCTAAATCAACTCGCATAGTATGTTCGCTTCCATCTAGTTTCATATGCGATCTGACTGGCAGTTGGAACATTGCTCTGTCCAAAGTGCAAGCAGAACTTGGAAGCCTCTGACATCTATATCAAGAAGAAGGGGGGGGGCAAAAGAAAAATGGGAAAATAAAAGACAGCAGAAGAGAACATTGGTATGACTAGCATGCAGTGGTGAGAGAAAACACGGCGTGGAACAGCAAACTCATACTGGAATGGTAACAGATGTCGGGGATTCTACTTCATGCTCTGTCCGTCCTCGTGGTAACCAGAATGACAGGGCGCAAGCCTGAACAGTCTAATTTTGTATCCATGGCAATGATCTTGTTCCTTCATCTAGCCCTGTATTTCCTCGAACAACTTCACGCGCGATGCCAGGTGAAGTGCCGATGCTACGAAACTTGGAGCTTAGAAAAGAGGACGCTGTCAGAGAATGGCTACTACCAAATCGATATGTTATCATTCTGGCCTTGAGGCTTATTTGATACGTATTTACACACCAACCGAAAGAGAAGCCAGGGCTAAGCCTGAGGCCAAGGCGACGCTGCTGCAAAGCAGCGCTAAAAAGGATGATAGATTCATTGCTGAACGCCTGATGAGGCCACGCAGTGAGATACTTAACAAGTAGGGCAGGAAAATGATGGCAAAGGGCGACAGAATGAGTTGAGGTATGGAATGATGAGATAGAGCCGACTACTGGTTGTGGAAGTCTCATCACTTTATATCATCTACGTACGCCGATAATTTTGGTCTTCCATTCCAATCAGCAGTATTTTCTACAGTTGATGATGTCTTAATTAGAGACCTCAAGGCTAACGACAAGAAGAATTAGTTATATGGGGTCTAAACAAAACTGAAGCTGTCTTATCATGAGCATTGTTGCTCTCCGGATGGCTCATTGTGGCTCCTACCCCCAAAACCCCCAAGTCAGTGAGAGATCGTCCCAGGAACTTAGGCTGGGCATGACTTTGGCATGGACAAAGTCTGGGCTTTCCAAGCCAATGTCCCACTCCCATACGTGTAGTTTGGATCTTGGTGTAACCTGTTCCAACATTGCCAACCAACGACATAACCCATTCTCTGTGACAGTGAACGGAAACCAACAAGCTGGGTGAACCAACAGCATGAGCGACAGAACAACAGTATTAAGGACCCCATTGGCGTCTCCACTCTTTCCAAAGATATCACAGTGCAGATACTCCGATGTGCCCGAAAGAATCTTGTCAGAGGGCTGGTCATCTATACTGATATGATTTGTCTTCTTTTTGGGAATGGGTTCCAATCTTAAGACCTAGGGCTAGATATGTGACATTAGCAGTAGTTCCAGAAGAGGGCATATAGAAGTGATATCTGAGTCGGCGGCAACTTCCAAAGACCATCAAAAGTGACAGACGAAACTAAATTGCATAGCTGAATGATTGCTACTCTGTCAAGCAAGATGATAAGGTTGTTTCATTTTTCGACTGGTAGCTGGCCTGGTAGAAGCCAGTAGAACGTGTTTATTACTTTGCAGAAAGTATCTAAGTTATTTTTGCGTTCACGGTTTGTTAAACTGACAGGTTAACTTTTCTATGGCGTAGACGGTTCCAGCTTAGGCGTGTTCCGAACATTATTATCAACCGCTTCTACATAGTCAATTATATGTCTACTCTGCGGCTGTTACTATCGATAGTGTTAAGTGGCCGAGAACAAAACGACGTCAAAATGTACTGGCATTGATTACAGTGCTAGAAAACGCCAAAACCTACTAAGGCAACACAAGATGCTTCCCATAGTCAGAGGTGATTGATCACTCTGATCAGAACAAATAATCGTCTCGATCAGAGTATAGCCAGAGACTGATCAGAGGAGTAGAAACTCCTAAGATTCTTGTGTTTATTACAATCAGAGGTAAATCATAGAAAGGCTCGCGGCCAATTAGGGGAAAGATATATAGGAAAAATTCCCCGTCCAAAGTTCGTTGTTAAGTTCCCCGTCTATCTCCTAAGCTATGACCCTTGTATGCTCTGAGTAGTATAAGCTTAGGTAGTTCCCGCTGTCTATTTGTTACCCTTGGCCTGATCGCCCCACCCTGTTCCAATATATTTGTATCCGTATCTGGTTTGGAACCAAGCCGGCCAAGATCAGCCGGCTACTTGAGATTCGATGAATTGGAAGTATATTCCAGCAGGACCGGGCTTCAAGATGGCGTGCTTTCAGGCTTGCTCATGCGATGGAACCTAACCTATGTGCCGAGGACACTCATCCGAGCCTCAACCTGCTAAGCGCGGCTGCATGTTTTTGCAATCTACCATTGGCCAAGCAGTTGTTGGAGGAGGGCCACTGTCCGACCAAAAATGCATGGGATAGCATGGGCCTGCCAACATCTGTCTCAACGTTGGACAACAAACTTGAAGAATGCTGCCGATCTACAGGGGAAGTGGAGCGTTGGTAACGTGGCCCTGCAATTCACGCTCAGACAGGAAAGTCTGTGGATTGATTGTCAGCATCTGGCGGCAATGTCAGTGTCAAATAAGATTGGATTGCAAACTTAAAGAGACCGGGGATACCAGTCTCCGAATCCCGTGTGTGCGGAGACTCCGAACGATGTTGCTGACAGTTGCTCAACATCGTGTTTTCCTACCAAGGGATAATGCCCCACTATCGGCCAACATTGCCGGACTGATAAGACGCATGACGGACACGGCAATGCCCGGAAATATGGTAGTAGTAGTATTGCTCAGAAGAGCGAATACTCCTTACCCATCGACAGTGTCAGGCTCTGCAAGTGTGGATGCCCTGGGAGAGAGGAAAATGTGCCCGTCGAAGAAGGGAAGCGTTGATGACATCCTAGAGCTACTATTGATATTCGTGCTTGTATCGGAGCTGCAACTAGAAACAGCATTCAGCGCGTTGCCAACCAAGTATGAAAGCTTACAAGATACACCATACTAGGAGCTAAAGACGGACACATCCAGAACGTCTACTAGTCATTCGGCTGATAAGTTACTAGGTTCTTTCTCGCTCTCCACAAATGTCCTCCCTCATCTTTCTCTCTATGACACTCCATTCCCCTTTCACCTTATGGCCAGAAAGCCAAATGTTCTCGTGCTCATCCTTGCCCACAACAATGATTCCATCAGTGAAGTCGTAAGGCCCCTGGATAGTTTGCACATAAGAAGGGAACAATGGTGTCTGCCGCGGCTGGACAGCAGCACCTGATAGATCGAAACCGTAAATTTTGGCCTTTTGCCAGTTGGAAAACATCAATAACTGCATCGAACTGCGACCAAAGAAAGGCGGCGCCTTGGCTCTGGGGTCTTGTCTGACAAGTGAGCTGTAGGCTTCGACCTGCTCGCGGGTTCCTTGCTCTTTGACTGAGCGGCGGATTGCTGAGGCCAAGTGACCAAGTGGCTTCTTCAAGACGTCGCTGACAGGCATAAGGGTGACGAGGAAGCCAACGCAGTTGCAGAGAAACGGCTTGTCAGACGGCAAGAGATCCTTGAGGACAGACCGCCACTGGTACGCCTGCTGCACAGCGACCTTGAAGGGCAAGTTACATGAGAATGAACCTTCAAAAGCATCGGGGTAAAGTAAACACATACCAATCTCTTGGAGTCTTCTGGAAAGTTTGACAAGGACAGGCGCGTAATCCACGCAAGGAGAACGTCGCCGTCGCTCAAAAATGGCTCTTCTACTGGTACCCGGAAAGCCGTTCCTTCGTCGGGCTCTTCCAAATCATTCTCTTTCAAAGCCTTTTCTTTCAGTTTCGCTAAGAACTCGGCTGGTACACAGACCATACGATGTTCCTTGCTGCGAAATACAAGGCGGTAAATATTTCGTAGTACCCACAACGCAACGCCAAACCCAGACATTCTTCGATCAACAAGCACGTGAGGCGTGGCATTAGTTTTGCCAAGGTCCTCTAGTGGGTAGCTGTTCGGGAGGAGAGGCTCTGGTATCTTGTAGTGTTCGCCCTTCAGAGCAAGGGACCAAGCTTCTAGGAGCGACCTTTTCGCCATGGCGTCAAATGCCAGGTGTATCCAGTGCAACACAATAACCGTAGAGTCCTTAAATGACACGATGCGAAGACCTAGCTCAGATCGGTCCGAGTAGAGATAGTCATGGAGCCCTCTTGGGGTATTGGGGCCGTGAATGAATCCAAGCAAATCGTCAGGGTTTCCTACAACTGCAGGTTTGCCATCAGACGGCGGACGAGGAATCCGTGACCCAGCTGGGTGATAGGCTATGTCTACGTTGCTATGGTCAACATGATCGTAGCTAATAAGTGTCTGGCCGTGCAAAAACTTTTGAGGTATATGGTGTTCAAGCTCTCCCCGGTCCTTAACGTATCCGCGTTAGATAGTGATCCTGGACAATATACAGGGTGTAGGGGTATAGCTCACATTCTTTCGTAGCCTGGCTGCTAGCTTGTTCCAGCCGGGGCGGCGTACTACGCTCTCAAGGGAATCACGGAGCTTTTGTGTCTCCAGTACTTCGGGAAACACAAAAACCGTGTACATGACGAATGTTTTGAAGAGAAAAGTGTCGTCGAAATAACCGACCGGGACAACGTAATCGGTTGGGTTGCGCGGTGGCGCCGGTGGCGTTGTGGAAAAGAACCTCATCATGTCGTTGCACAAGAACAACCGACGGGCGAGAGAAGACAATAGTCAAGTTGTACCGAGGGAACGACGATGACTTGTCTTTTTTCTTTCTTTCTGCTTTTCTCCCTCTAATGTGACAACGGAGCCAAACCCGAGTCTCCGGATACGATGACAAGACAGGGGGCGGCACGCGGGTTCCATTACAAAAATGTGAAAGCAGACGTTCTTATTGGAACTCGCGTGGGCGGGCTGTTGGACCTGTCAAGAAATCCCAACATGCAGCAACCCCAGCAACCCCTTGACTAGGTCATGAAAATTTTCCACCTGAGTGACAGGGCTTTGAATTCGTTCGCAAGTGACAAGCATCAAGCACGCTGATACTACGTAGTAGGTCGTCGGAGCTGCGGACTCTCGTCCGACTCTAGTCTACGACTTCAGGAGACAAAGTCCGACGTGGCAGGGTGCTATGTTTGCCGTTGCATTGCCAATCAACCGGGTCAGCTAAAGTCTTTCCCGAAATTAGCTATCAGCATTAGCGTACTTAGCAGACAGGCCCATGGCAGGCCTGGCGTTGTAAATAACCGGCTGCCGGCATTGCACGCCTGCCAGTCTTCAATGATACTTTTAGCAGTGCTACCCTCTATCGATCCTTCAAAACATTTCGTAGTCACTCGTTGCAGCCTCCACAACGACGTCGACACGCAGCCGAAGATGATACTGCTCGTTTCCCGGAGCCAAGAGGGCGAGCGGATGTCGGAGGTCGCCCGCGGGCTCCCACAGCTTCCAGTCAGCGGCCTCACAGCGACGATTCAGACCGTAACATGCGTCTTGACGGTTCTTTCTACCCTCGTGGTTGGTCTTCGCGTCTGGGTGAGGCTCAAGCTGTCGGAATCGAGAAAGATATGGGGCTGGGACGACACTTTTGCCGTCCTTGGGTGGGTGTGTTGCCATGCCCCTCGCCTGTTGCGTCTTTTCCTAACCATGACAGGTTTTCTTCTTGCCATCAGTTGCCTTTATCCTCCTCGGGACGTGTTATGGGCTCGGGGCACGCGATGCTCGAATCCCCGAAGGACAGCTGGTCTACTACCGAATCAAGCTTAAGGAATACATGTTTTGGTGCGAAGTTGCATACTTCATCTCGACAGTCATGACCAAGCTCTCCGTGTCCATTATGATTGTGCGGTTGAGCACTACCCAAGTATATGCGTACATCATTTGGGGAAGTATGACTGTACTAGCTATTAACTTGTTAGTCTGTATGGCTATTTGGTTGGGGAGCTGTTCTCCTGTACCAGCTCTATGGAACGAGAACCTGTACGTCGTCTTGCGTCTACATATGTTTACTGAAATTCTGGCTGACAGTGCTGCAGCGGCCACTGCCGTCTTCGTAACGGATGGATACTTGCTGCTTACATCGGCACTACCGTCCTGGCTATTGTGGACTGGACATGCGCAATCACGCCATTCTTCCTCATACGGGGCCTACAAATGCCAAAACGTCGTAAGGTTTCATTACAAATCATACTGGGTTTGGGCATCATCGGCAGCGCTGCCGGACTAGTCCGCTTAGGATACTACCATTCATACGATACCAAAGCATATCCAAATGAGTCTCTTTGTGAGTAGTGCATTTGCCATTACCTATTCGCAGCTTGTAAGCTTATATCAATAATATAGATAATTGGGGACAGACAGTTTTATGGTCGGTCATGGAGGGCGGCTTAGGAGTAACAACCTGCTCCATGCCACCACTTCGCAAACTCGCTAGCACCTACTTCCGTGGATCCTCTAACGACGTGAGCGAAAGGTCGACGGGGAACACTGCTGTAGTAAGTAACTGTAAACACTTGGACAGCTTATGTTGCAAATCAACATTCTGCTAACTAGACCGGTTGCGTCTTTCCAGGACAGCACGGAACTGAGAACAATTAGACTCTCGTGTAGCGGAGGAAAGTGGAACCAACTGCCAAGCCACCCTTGACACCATGCCATCCCGCCAGTTTGGACAACTTTAGTCACGCCCGACAAAGCAATAGGCTTGTTCCTTGCAATCGAGAAAACTGTTGTTTCATCCCGTGGTGTACCGACAACTACAGTTCATATGGGGATAGATATATGTGACGGCCTCGTTGCAAACATCCCGCACCTCCGCCTCTGATGTGTTTGCATCGGGTGCCCAGGACCCAAGCGAGTCTGGGATAAAGCGTTTGTAAGCCGTTCAAGAGGTTGATCGTTGAGATTTCTAGCTCAATAGGTCAACGACGAACGCATGCGACCAATATGGAACGGGTCGTCCTTACCGGGCCCCGAACCCCGCAGGTCCGATGAGAGATCAACAGCTCTCTGGTATGTTCAACGATGACAGCTGGTTGCACGGCTTTCACGCGATGCCTTTTCTAGTATCTTGGATGCATTACCCGAAGACAACTCCGTTGCAGGATCGGTTGGTATCTTGCTTCAGCTTCTCCGGTTCTTCCGCTGTCTAACTATTGCGGAGCAAGGTGAATAATCACATTTCGTAACGACTGTAAACGCTGGTCGTCGTGCTCGGTTTCTCCAACACGTTTCCCGGGCCTCTAAGAGTGATCTAGACGGGGTTCGCAACCGACTGCGGGCAGCCACGTGCAACCTCTACCGAGACGTTGGTTGCGACGGCTATGTTGCACTGTGTTATTACATCCATTTCCCGGGCCATAGTCATCAGTGGGTGGGTTCAGAAGCGGTTTCTTCAGGTTGGTACCGTTGATTGGCCATGTCCCTGTGTCACTGGCATCATTTAGGGGATTGCTCGTTGAGTCGTCCTGGCGGACCTGGGGAGCCCGTTTGTCGCCGTTTGGGACGTGGTTCATGCCAGCTTGGGCATACCAACTGAAGTTAGGTTAAGGAGTAATCAGAGGACCTTCTGAGATAGTGCCGTATTCTTTAACAATATTAAACAACGCAAAAACACAGCTGAGCGACTCCTTGTTACCCCATTTCTGCTAGAGATGTTCGAGGGGAACTACTGCTCTAAGCTATGCCGTTTGTGACATCTTGATCACTCGCAGCTGGGCTTTCTACATGACTTTACATCGTCTCGCTATCATATCATTTCGGGCTCATAAAATTCACCGCCTTGAGAGCTTGTTGAGGTAGCGTGCGTGCCGCCCTTGAGACTGGAGGAGTTGAGCCAAAGGATGCTGAAGTACGTTGCGTTTATTGGATATCATCATGTCATGCCGCAACTGCAGTATTCTAGTAATGAAGAAAAGACCCAGCACCAAAAGCCAACCAAGCATCCATCAGCCGCTGAACAACCATTCCTCAAGTTTACAAACTACACATCACTCAGTGATGTCCCAATCTCGGCCCAGAGATCCCCACGGGACTAACGAGACTGATCCGGTGCAAAACGCTGCCTGCCTTTCTCCGGAGCCTACTCTCCCTCATGGGCGTTGGGACAGTGGCCTCGCGCAGCGGACTCATCACGTCCCCGCCCTCCTCCTTCCTCTCCGCGCTCGCTCGACGGACCTCAGTCTCCTCTTCTGTGCGGCTACTCCCCGTCGTCATGCTCTCCATGCTCCCCCCATCATGCTCGACCGCAAGACTCAGTCTCGCCCTCCAGCGCTCCTCCGACCCCATGGGCGACGCAGGGTTCGCCGAGTTGACGGCGCCCGAGCCAGCGCCCTCTGCGATGGGGTGCATCGACGGGGCCGGCTGCTGCATGTTGAGACCCTTGAGCGCCTCCATGGAGCTCGATGAGCTGGCGCTGGCGCTGCCCAGGTCGCGTTCGTGAGACGCCTTCTCTCCGGCGACCGTCGTGCTCAGCCTCTTCAGCCCACGACCCCACGAAGGGTGTGACTTGGGCGAGAGCACCTCGATGATTGTCCTCCTCTTAGCGTCACGCATCTTGCGGGCCGCGAGCTCGAATTGCTCCGCCATTGTCGGGTGCGCCATGACTTCCTCCATCGAGACGGTCAGGCCGTGGGACCCGGGGACGCCCAGCTTGGGAAGCTCCTGTGTCAGCGCTTCGGCGATCAGCGAGGCGGAGATCATGCTGCCCCAGAGGTCGTAGAACGCCGCGTTGTGAAGCTGCGCCTCGGGCACACCGAGGGAACGCGGGTCCAGGACCCTTGTCCAGACGTTGGAGATGGTTTCCTGGATGGCGGTCCGGTGGCTTTCGGACAAGGTGGCGGCGACGGCCGTAGGTTTTGCTTCCATTTCTAGCTGGGGCAGCGGTATCTGCGCCGCTACGTCGCAGTAGTCGACCGACGAGGGAATCAACGGGTGGAGCATGGACACCGAGGTGAGAAGCTCAATATTGGAGCAGAGAGCTTTGAGCGTCTCGTTGGCGAAGAGACTAGGTATGCGGTTCTCGCAGAACGTCAGAGATATCTCGCCGCTGCTGGAGTCCTGCTGGCTGGATACGACGTGAAGGTCGTAGACGTCTCTACTAATCGGCTCTTGGATGTTGAACTTGCACTTGATGGTGCCGATATTGAAAACTTCTGCCTCCTTGGCGGCATCCTGGTGACGGTGTTCGACAACCGTGCTGAAGCGCGTCCAGTATGGAAGCTTGGTGCATTTTTCGACAATCTCAAGCCAGCCCATGTTCTCGAAGGGAATGCTCGTGACGCGCTGGCTGTGGACGTACTTGAGCAGCTCGAGGGGGCTGCTCAACGTGTCCGCAAATTGGACGCGGACAGGAATGGCATTGGAAACGGGCCCGAGGGTGCCTGAGATGTCCGAACCGTCAGCTAGTCTTAGATGCCTTCCCTCGACGATCTCGCCAAAGACAACATCGCCCGATCCGGAGAGTGTTGCGAGCGTCATGGCCCAGGCCGCCTTGACGACGGTGTCGAAGGAGATGCCGATGTTGGCCAGGGACATCACCGAGACGTTGTTCGATATGGTCTTGACGTTCGTGCTCATTCCTGGCGGCTTGCTGTGGGCGATGACTTGGGTCATCTTTGCCCCGTTCAGCAAGGAAGTCCAGTGGTCCTTTGCGCCGTTGTTGTGAGCAAGCTGCACCGAGCGAGCAAAGTCGAAGTAAGTCGCTCTCCTGGGCGGGCAAGATGGAGCGATGTAAATGCTCTTCAGGTGATGCAGCAGAAGAGAGATGGAAGCGCCGTCGTACTGGGCCCCGGATAGCCGCAGGACGAGATTGGACTGCTTGCCAGCGTCGATGAAGAAGAACTTTGTCATCGGAACCTCGAGATCGAAGGGGCCAGTCTGATCCCTCTTGATTATCTTTTCGGTCATCGTCGAGACCCTCCAGTTCGGAACCTCGACCCTCTTGAACTCCGGGCTGAAGGACTTCAGCGCCACTTGGTACACCCTTCTACCATGGGTGACGAATGCGGTTCGTAGGATGGGGTGGATTCTTGCCAGGCACATGCAGACGGCTTTGAGCTTCTTGGTTTGGACTGGCCCGGTGAAGCTGAAGGTGAAGTACGTGAAGCTCGAGCTTCCCTTCAGCAAGCCGGCTTCGAGAAACTTTAGCTGAGACGCTGCGGCTTCCGCAACATCGTCGATGGCTTCGGGCTCAACCTTCAATTTTGGAACAACGACATCCTGTATGAACTGCTCTTCAAGCAGCGATTCCGTTGAAGACACCACGGATGGAGCTGATGGCTCAGGCTCCACCGCCTCGAGCGCGTGATCTGAGCTCATTGTGATGTTCTGGCAGAGCTCGGTCAGGGTGGCGCCGCACAGGACGTCGAGTAGGGAAATGATGAGTCCTTGCTTCCGGCATGCAACAACGAGCTGGCCGGCAAGGAAACCCTGGCCGCCGAGCATCGAGAAGCTCTGGTTGCCGCGGATGCTTGAAGGGTGAATCCCCAGAAGGGACGCCCAGATCGACTGCATTCGCTCCTCGACCTTGGTCAGGGGAAGCGGCTTGATTCCGACCGAGCGGACTTCTTCGGGCGATGCAACCGTGGAGAGGGCCTGCAGCTGCTCATGCGACAACCACCCGACCATCTTTTGGAGCTTGCGACGGTTGACCTTGAGAGAGGGTGTGACGGGGAGATGCTTTACGGGAACGAAGATGGTCGGCATCATGTGCGACGGCATGCCAGTGCCCAAGGACGACTCGATGAGCTTCTTGGCGATGTACGTGCGCTCCCGGGTGGTGATTGTGATCCTAGTGAGGTCTTCGGAGCCCTCGAAGAGGTTTTCGCCGAACTCCACAAACGCCGCAAGGGAGGGCTGCGCATCGCGGCTGATGATGGATTCAACGGCGATGTCGATCCCTTGGCCCAAGCACCGTCGGAGTCTCTGTTCGATCTCAGTCACCGGGACGATTTGCCCGTTACTCTCGACAGCGTCACGGCCGCTGGACACGAAGTCAAGCAGCCCGTCCTCCGTGTACCGAACAAGATGGCCCGTCTTGAAGTAGCGTGTTGTGGGCTTGCCATCCTCGAGTGAAAATTCCGAGTCCTGGGGCAGATGTGACAGCGACTGGCCGGGGACGAAGTGGTGCGCGAGGGTTGGGCTTTCGATAATGAGCTCGCCAAGAGCGCCAATCGGCATCAGCTTGCGGTGGTCTTCGGGGTTGACGATCCAAAATCTTCCGAGGAACGGAGGCGCGACGCGCGAGAGATCCGAAGGCTTCGTGACCTCCAGAACAGAGACGCCGAGGGGACAGATGTCGGGAGCACCGTAAGCCAGAAGGACCTTCGTCTTTTCCATCCAAGGGGCACAGGTATCCTCGTCCAAACGACGCGTCCTGAAGCAGACAGTCTTTAGGCTCGGGATGGCGGCCGGTGTCATCTTCCGCGCCAGCACAGGCGTCATGTAACTCCAATTGATATCCATCCTGCAAGCGGCGCCTACGATGTCACTCGTCGTGTCGACGGATGATGGGATGCATACACATCCGCCGTGGACCAGGGTCGAAAGTAGCTCAACCAGGGCAGTGTCAACGTTGAAGGAAGACAGTTGCATGACGCGACTGTCCCTGTTGAGGTTCAGAACCCGGCCCTGCGTGAGGAATGCCGAAGACAGAGCTGCGTGGTGGAAAATGATACCCTTTGCATCTCTTCCACGCGACGAACCAGGCGCGAGAAGCATGCAGGCGGCGTCGTCGGGTGCTGCCATGGGCAAGGGCGCCTGCGGTGGGAAGTTTACCTCAAAGAGAGAGTCGTCAACCACGATGACTCCCTCGACGAGGGACTCGAGACTTTTCCAGCCCAAGTCGGTTGCTACGACAATCTTGGGCGTGAGCTGGCGGATGAACGTCTCTACGTTGGCTCGATCCTCTGCATCGATGGGCACGAAGCAGCCTCCGGCTCTAGAATAGTGTTAGCGTACGAAAAGGAGTGATGGCCGTGATGAGAACTTGCTTCAATACAGCCAGGACGCTGACCACCGCCCACTTGTTCTTGTCGAGAATCACGGGGACAGCAACGCCGGGTCGGACTCCCCATTGGACAAGAAAGTTCGCCAGCCGGGAAACAAGTCGGCAGACCTGTCGATATGAGAGCCCGCCATCCCAGGCGCATATAGCTGGCGCATCCGGATTCCGCCTGCCCTGCTGCGATACCAACGCGTGGACACACGCATGTGCAGGTTCCTTGCCACTGTCCACCCCCCAGTCGCTGATCAGTAGCTGGGCGTAATCCCTGTCGGTGAAGAGGTTGATCGATCCAAGAGTTTCCTCGGCGGGGCTTCCGATGATAGACATGACAGCACGTCCGAATGTGTTTGTTAGATTCTCCGCCTGGGAAGCTGTCATGAGCCTGTGGGATACTCCGGTAACGAGCTGTCCATTAACGAGGGTCAACGAGAAGGTAACATCAAAATCGGGAGCGTTGAAGGCCTGGATGCACGAGAGTCTCATGGGCAGACGCGTGGAGCTGAACCTGCTCTTGAGCTCGTGTGGTTCTTCCTGGTAGGACAAGCAGGTGTTGAAGAGACCGTCGCCCTTGAGGCCGAGAGCGTGCCGGATTTCTGATATCGGCACGCTCTGGTGCGGACGGCAGGCCGCAGCGTCGTCTTCGAGAGATCCTAGAACTGAGGCAATGGACTTGTGGTTCTCGAGTCCGACCGAGCATGTCGTGGTGTTCTCGAAGGCGCCCACCGAGAGCGTCAGTCCTTCTGGCGCGTCTGCGGCATCTCGACCCGAAGAGCGGTAGCCGAAGCAGACTTGGTTAGAGCCGGTGAATGCACGCAGGGCAAGCGCCCACGCCATTTGCACGAGGGCCGACCGACTGACATCCTGGGACCGACAGAAATCGTCAATCTGAGCCATCGGAAGCTCGGTACGGAAGTTGGTGTGCCGCATGGCTGGGTCGCTGAGCGTCATCAGACGTGGGAACAGGCAGGGATTCGTGTCCTGGAGGCGACCGAGCCAGAAATTAAGACTATTTTCTTGCCGGGCGGCGGATATGTACTGGACACAAGCGGCATGTGAAGGGTCGAGCACCTTCAGGCAAGCCTTGCTCGAGTTGTACATCCTCTTCAAGTCCCAGACGATGTTTTGGAGACTCAGGGCCTGTTTCAACATTAGCGAATCCGGGCCACAACGGATAACTTCGAACTTACATCGCAGAGCGCATGGCTGATATCGAGCCGCAGGAAAGTGCTCGCATGCGACTTGCACACTGAAACCCGGTGGCGCGGGTTGTAGGGTGTCGGACTCATCGGCGGCAGCGCGTTAAGAACAGCCACAGGGTCTGTTCCCGCCTCGGCGTCGACGAAAAGCATGTCGGGCGAGCACCGCCTCAGCACGACTTGATCGAAAAGGCCGTCCTCAGATATGCTGTCGATGAAGACGGTTCTCAGGGCCGGGTACTTGGCAACGATCTGCTGCCAGATGGTGCAGATTTGCGCTTGGTCAGCCACAACACCGTTTGGGGACGCGAGCTCGTAGATGGCGTGGCTGTGGCAGATCTCAATGTCCTGCGTCTGGCTGATGAGAATGTCTTGCTGCAATGCCGTGACGGGCAGGACGTCCTCGATGTCCTTGGCGCTGGAAAGCCCCAAGGCCACGAGCCGGTCGGTATTGAGCTTCGCAAGACCCTCGTAGCTCGTGTTGAGCATCGGGACGTCGGACAGCGTGAGTTCTTGGCCCCGATATCGCAGCCTACCAATGGCCTCGTATAGAAGATGCTCGTACGCCTGAACCCACTCGGCGATCTTATCCTGGTGCTTGGAGTTGCGGTTGTAGACAATTTGGATCGAGGCAGAGCCCTGATCGACCATGGCCGATACCTCGAACAGAGCAATTCTGGACACTTCTGAACCAATGTCGGCGGCTTCTGTTGACCTTAGCCTTCCGGGGATCGTGACTTGCTCGAGGACGCCCTTCTCTCGTTCGATTTGTTGGACGGAGCCGGCGTACGTAAACATGATTTCCAATGGCCAACCCTCGTTGCTTCTCGTCGCTGCTTCGGGCCCGAAATACCTCGATCCAAAGTAGCACCATCCGCGCCGGGGGATCGATCGCCTCGTGTCCTTCATCTTGCGCAGGACGTGGAGGAAGTCGTCGGCCAAATCGACTGGCATTGTGACCGGACAAAGCGAGGTGAACCAGCCAACGGTTTCTGTGATGTCGATGTCCTGGCTCCACGGCTCTCTGCCGTGTTCCTGGCTCCAGATCACGGGCGTCGGGCGGTTGTGGAAAGTCTGGCTGAATGAGAGGAGCAGAGCCGCCATGTAGATGTCCGACATGTCGGTCTTGAAGACCTGGTTGCATGCTGTGTGCAAAATCGAGGTCAACGCTGGGCTGAGGGTGAAGCTGGCGACCGAGATCTCGCCATAGGTGTTGTGTGAATCATCGAGGCCCCAGTAGTTGTACTCTCCACTGGGTAGCTGAAACGGCATCACAAGCTCCTCTGGGTTGTTGATGATGTACTCTTCTTGCAGCTCGTTCCATCTCTGGTAGGGCATGGAGCGCTCAGAAAACAGCGTGCCTTCTCGTAGCAGCTCATCGAGGTCGTGGAGGATAATCCGCCATGACATCATGTCCACAACAAGATGATGTGCCAGTAGATAAACTAATTGCTGGCCGTCGTGAGTCCGAAAGTGGTCGACCGAAAACACTGGCCCAGACTCGATGTTAATGGTGGCTTGTGACCGCGCGACGATGCCCATGACCTCTTCGGTCGTGCTGACCGAATGATAGCGGAACCCGTACGACCCGTCCACTTTGGGTACGATCCGCTGAGTCCAGCCGTCAGTCTCGGGCTTGAATCGTGCGCGCAACATGGAGTGGTGACCGACAACCGTCGAGATGGCGGCGTGGATGTTCTCCAATGTTGAGTTGTTCTTGACCCGGAGGAGGAGACTCTGGTTGAAACGGTAACCGGTGCTGGAAGCCATGCGCTGCTCGATACGGCCACCCATGCCGGTGTCGAAATACATCTGCTGTATCGGCGACAGCTTGAAGCCTTCAACGGACTCTTCACTCCAGGAATCGGATCTCTGACTTTTTCGGTAGGCGAGCGATGCTAGCTGGCCGAGGGTCGGACATTTCTGGATGTCTTCTGGCCTTACGATAATGGACTCTGTCCTACATGCGGAGACGAGCATCATGGCAGAAATGTCATCGCCCCCAAGCTGGCTGAAGGAGAAGTTCATGCCGATTTGCCTCAGAGGCAGCCGGAGGACGTTGGCGACATTCTTTTGCAAAACCCGCTCCATCTCCGTCAATGGCTCCTGGAAGAGCTCGTTGGATTCGAGGCTCGAGATTTGGTGATACATGTCTTCATTGATGTTCTGGATCCATGTCTGAAGCCGCCTCCGGTCGACGGAGCCCTCTCCGTTTGAAGGCATCTGGTCAAGCACGATCCATGAATTTGGTACGGTATGAGCTCCTCCGGATGTCTCGAGAGCCAGTCGAACCGCTGCGACCTGACTCCCGGCAAAGTGCATCTGCGATTGGGGAACGAGGCGGATGCTCGACAGGCTGGATTGCGAGACGCGGCCCGAAGCCAAGGTGACGAAAGCCACGAGCTTGTCCTCCAAGTATCCCGCCTTTGGCCTGATGACTGCGGCGGTCCTTACCTGCGGCGTGGACTGGATGAACTGTTCGATTTCAAAATTTGGTGTCTTTGCCGGTGGTGAGTCGGCGCTGTTGGAGGACTCGCACGATGATGTCGAGTATGCGCTGTTTCGTCTGGGACTTGAGCTGAAGACATCGGAGGGAGAGGCACTGTCTTCGTCAGAGTCCTTGGACACAGGCGCGGCCTGAACCAAGGGGGTAATGCAGGTCTGAAGCTCCGCCAATGTATGGCAGCGGAGAATGTCGCCCGTCCTCACATCGAGTCCGAGGCTCATGCACGTTTTCCTTAGGGCGATAGCGGAAGGCCTATCGCCACCAAGGTCAGAAAAGGAGTCGAATAACTCTATACTGTTTTTCGGCAAACTTAGTACGAGGGCAATTGCCGAGACGAGTCTGTCATCGGCAGATTCTGTGAGGAATGGCGCCATGGAGGTGTCGATTCTAGGAAGAAGTTTTGCGCTGGCCGAGTTGGCCATATTGGTTGATTGGTTGTAAGTACGTACGCTCGGTCCAGTCTTAAGAAGGGGAGAGAGAGCTATAGGGAACAGGTTCGGAGAGGGGTATCTCAAGAATGCATAAAGACAAATAAAGAAGACCGAGCGAGAGTAGCCACTTGAACCCGGTTCAGATGCTGGACTCAGGTGAGGGTCAAAGTTAATGGCGTTGGTCGGACGAGATGAATAGTTCTTGGCCTTGGGGGCGTCAGGTTTGGGGGGGCTGTTTGTTGCAGTGCGTCTTGGGTGGAACCGAGATGAAAGACCTACGGACGACTCGAGGCAACAGATAGACGAGATGGTCAAGGTTCAAGACAAGAGGAATGAAAGAGAAGTTGGAGGGGGTGCGGAAGAGGGCAGCGGTGAATGTAAAATAATGCGAGGCCAGCTTTTCTGGCGGTTCTATTCATCCTTTGAATCCTTCCTCTTCGCTCGAGGAAACGAACAGTAAGACCATCAACAGGACAAAGGATAATAAGCTATGGGTTGGCAAACAGGCGGAGTACCTGGTACTACACAGTGGGGGCAAGGTATTATGGCTCGCAACGACCAGTGACCAGCATCATAAGGTGTGTAGTAGGTAGGTAGGTAGGTCAATCCTCCATGGCCCCGGCCCCTTTTACGTTCTGGGGTCCAGGATGGAGGGTAGTAAGTAGGTGGTTTGGGTGGTGCGGAACCCTTGAGTGACTGACTAACAGGACCAGAGTCTGGACGACGGACGACAAGTGGCCCCGAGTGGTGAGCCGTGTAGGACCGGTAAAGGTACGAACGAATACGTGGGGGATGTCGCCGTTGTTCCGCAGGGTTGGCTTACATACCCGCACCTCGTTGGAGCTGGAACGCGGGGGACAAGGCATCCGTGATGAAGGATCACCAACGCATAGACTCTGTCCCACAGGTGATGGGTAGACAGGTAGATAGATGTCCGTGGTGAACGTTGGTGGAATCGCGGAGGCCAGGGTGAGGGCGCCTGCTCAGCCCCATGATGCTCGGCCTAGTCCACGGGACAGATAATACCTGTACATACAGTATGTACGTCGTGCTGAAGTCCCACGTTGCCAGTGTATCGGTTTGCGGTGCATCCCCAACGGGTGCGCAGCTAGGCTGAGCCACGCGGGGAGAAATGCAGCCGTGGTCACCGACCAACAGGGGAGCACGGCAGCGCGGGTGGGCAGGGTCGGTAGCGCAAGGATCCTAGCTCTGCAATATGTAGGGAGAGACCTTGGTCCTGGAGCCATGTCGACACCTGTAGGGTGACATTGGGTTTGCAGTGGGCGGAAGTGGACAAGAGAAGAGATGATGGGGACGGAAGAAACGAAACAAACAAAAGGGCGGCAAACGCGGGTACGTATCGTGTTCCTCGTGCCAGCCGAGTTATTCTCTCTGATCTCTCTGTCCCTCTCTCTCTCTCTCTCTCTCTCTCATATATTCTCACAGTCTCTCTCTCACGCTCGCTCACCTTTCTCTCTCATCACCAAGGATCATCCATTTCATTCAGTCATTCATACCTCATTGACTATTCTACCCAAGTCAACGGCAGTTCCTCCAAATGAAACACATAAAAGAAAGAAAACAGCCATCTATATCGGTATACGGATACCTAGAGCTGCTTCGTCAGCCACACTGTTCCCCCCCCGGCAAAGTATCCGATCTGCCGGTGCTGGGTGTTTTGCAACCATTTGGCGACGTGCGGCATCTGTTCTAAGCGCCCACTGACACCCACAGTGCGGCTATGTTACTGGTGCCTTACCTTAGCGACGGGGGAGGGGGGGCTGAGTCCAAGACAGCTGCGCAGCTTGTGCGTCCCCAACTTCATTTGAGGGCAGAGTCGTTGGTTGTATGGATGACGTTGACGACGTCGTCGTCGTCGTCGTCGTCGCACACATCTCGGTTCTTCAGAATAGAAACGGCCCGCAGAATAGTATTCCGCCGTGCACAGGATACTCAGCAGCATCATGCCCCTCCGCCGCGTTGCCCCCCTCCCGCTTCCACGGGGGAGGGGGCGCTGGATGGACAAGCAAGCAGCATGGTGAAAGCCTGGACTGTGTGATCTGCGTTTCTACTGACGTTTTCTCTACTCGAAGTGGTAACCATTTCTCTCGGAGGCTTCGCCATGACCGGCTGCTTACTTTGTTCTTGGGCGAAACCCAAAAACCTCTCAGGGCCGTCACCGTCAAGTCAGCCACCCCCTCCCCGCCGTTGAAACTCGGGACTCGCGTCTTCTCCAACTGTCAGCTGGTTGCCGTTGTTCTACCTAGTCTTGAACCTTGACGATGAGGGTCCATCATTATTTCTCGGCCTCCTCGGTCCCGACTCCGGCAGGCTGAGCATAGTCTGTACTATGGTCGACCTTGAGAACGGGGACAGTTGGATTTCGTAGCCGACTCCCATCGGCGCACAATCAATCGGATGAAAGCCCGGGTCTTGAGTGCGTTTCTGCGCAGTAAGCAGTAACGGGCAGAATCCCCCCTCATGCCAGGGCCAGCCCTGCGGCTGGATGGCAGTGTGCGCGAGATCACCAGTACTCGAGATCCGCATTCATAATCACCATTCACACCAGCAGAAAGTTGACAGTTTTCCATGTTTCATTCCTCCCGCATCCAGCCTCTCCCACCGCACCTTCATCCCACCTAGACATGTGTGGCATACGCGGCAGCAACCCTCCGGCCGTCCCAGAACCGCCTGTCAACATAACTCCCCTCACATCGGAGCAAACCATGACGACCTCGATTCTGCTTTGAGCTTCAGGGGGGGGGCTAGGTACCGTTTACTTTACCACTGTGTGCCGCCAGCCATCACAGGATAGAGACCCCCAAAAATCATCCTACGGGCCCCCCAAAGCTCCAGCGCAAGCCAGACCATGCGCTCCGTTGGCGGCGGTGGCAAAGGAGGAACGGCTTCCCCCACGAAACATGCAAAGGCCCATCTAATCCATCTGACCAAAAGTTTCAGGAACAGACACTCTCGAGACCGGGGGAGGAGAAATGGGTGACTGGGCAGAGCGCCGACACAGCGTCGCCCTCACGGACCCATTCCACCAGTCTGACACTCCCGTCTCGCCAACCTGGACTCTCGGGCTCTCTCTCTTCTCCTGCACCCAAAGTCCGCTAAACACGGGACCTCGCAGGACTGCCTCGGGCTTCCCGTCTTCATCGCAAAGGAAGCAGCAGCCCGGCTACGCGGTTGGCCGGGAACGCGAGGGGAGAGATGGCATTGTATTGATAGATGGGCAATCCCTAGGCTCGGTCTGACACTCCCCGCCAAGAGAAGCACGGAGCGCGGGAGCGCGGTTTCGGTCACGGCCGGCCAACTCCAAGTCGGGCAGCGCAAAAAGAAGCAACAGACAGGCCCGTCTTTGACACACGTTCGCCACAGAACGGAGGAATTGCCACCCCTACTCTAGGACCCCTCACCCATCTGAAGGGGTGGCCCTGGTTGAACTAGTCCTAGCTCTGTCTCTCTCTCTACTACGTATTGTATTCTTGTTTGGTCCGTCATGTGCTTTCCCCCCATGGACACCATGGTCAGAGGTAGGTAGGTAAGCGTTTGGTGACCGCCACAACATCAACGTATACGCGGTTTGATGAGCTGGACGACAGCTTCCCTGCCGATGTGAAGCCTATATCAGCTCGTGTCCGTATGTATCATCGCAAGCGTCAATCACGTCCCCCTCCCCGCATCCCGCATCCCCCGAAACCCTCCGGCTCGTGGCCCCGGTTCCCAGCGGAGGTCCGGCTTTTCCCCTCCCACGGCCGCAGAGCTTGTAGTCGTGACACCCACCGTCTTTTTTTTTTTTTTCTTCTTTTTTGGGTAGCCTCACGAAGGATTTGTTTCCCGACGGCGGCGTGGATCGCTGCACTATCCAACCTTTTTTTGTTTTTTCCCGTTTTACATCCTCTATCCGATGAAATCCTTCATGCTTCTTCCACCTTGGAAACCCACATCAAAACGCGCCCACTTCCCGACCGACGCTGCAGAAGGCATTCATCTACCAGCTGCCTAGTGCTTCCCGGCGGCAATCTGCACCCACCGTCTTGCCGCTCTCCGAAGCCGTAAGCCCTAGTCTCAGACAGGGGGATGCTCGTTTTGCTGAAAGCACGAGCGGTGTAATTGGACAAACGAGGGGAGGCTCGCCGCGGCAAAGAGCGCTTGTTAGGGTGGCAGTGTTTAGTTGGCATCCATCCAAACGACTGCCAAAAGGAGGCTGCAAGCTGCAAGGGGGGCGGTGTTGCCGGCGTACCCGTCCGCGGCTCTATGTAGTCATGCAGTGGCGGCAACTTGATATACACTACACGGGCTCCCTGGGAGATGATCGCTGCGCGGCCAGGCGTTCAGACAGCACCGTCGAGGAAAGGGGCCGGGCGATCTTAGATTCCTTGGGCCCCCCCTCTCGCTGCATCGAGACGTCATCTGGCAGCCAGCCAGCTCGTAGCCCAGCTTCGTCTTTATCGCCGTTGCCTCAGGGGTAGACGGCAAACCTTGGCAGCATCGCGGATTTCGGGGAGGATGCTGGTGCCTGGAAGAGTCTGGCCCTTTCGGAGATTCCGGGGCACCGCATAGACGCTCGTCACCGTGGCCTGCGTGTAGCTTCGCTTCTCTAGCTTTGCCTCCGAAGACCAATTGACGACGCTATTCTGATTCCTTCGCCAGAGGAGGTCCACTCAAGCGGTGATCGATCGAGGGGTAGGTAGGCGGCACAGGGAGCCCCAGCAAGGGACACGCTGAGGCCACACATGCTATCTTCGTTGCCTTGGACAATCTTCATCTGTTGGTCGGCTTCTATGTTGCGTGTAGCCAGGATATATGACCACACGCTACAATGATGGTGGGGAAATCTGAGGGCCAATCTAGGACTCCTGGGGTTGGCCGTCTTCACCGCCGATTCGCATGGTTCGTCGCGCGTATTCATTCATAGTGGAGTATGCTTTTTGAATACTTTCCTCCGAGTACCAAGCCCGGTCGCTTTTCGGGCCGACTTGCTCAAAGACCGATAGATGTGTTTGTCACCTTGTGTGACTTGTGTAACGACCTCACATGCTCAACAGGAGGACCAGGGACGTGGGTTTCTTTGTCGGTGCTTCCCCCATTCACCTCCGTCGTCCATCAAGATCAAACCCCGATGGCAGACCTGTTTGTATGTCCTGCCCACCGGGCGTTCATATTGGTGGGGGACGCCTCACGAACACGAAGCAAGCAGATGTCCTCATAGACGGACTAGTAACCCATAGAAGCGCAGAGAGCTAAAAGATGGGCTTGACTTTGCCTCGTATTCACTCGCACCGACGGGTATCTATTCCGTCTGCCATCGATATTACGGAAAGACCTACTTACTGCCTATTGAGTCGAAGCCACTCTTGCTGCAGCGTCCTTGTGTAATATCACCAACTTCAACCTGAGACACGAGGGTTTGCATTAGAGGAGGGATCCGGGGCATTGGTCGGCTTTCACGCCGAAAAGCGACCGGGACCAACTGTTAAATGGCTCAATACCTTTCGGTGGTGCTGCGGAAACCGACACCAACAGTCCTCACAGATGGGTGTTTGCACCTCGGCTGTAGAGAACACGGAGGATATCAGTATATTCGTATCATACGATCGGGTCCAAAGCTTCAAAAACCATCCACAAAAGCTCGCAGCGAGGCCGAGCCCAGGACCAACCAGTTCCACATCTGCGCACCCTGACATCTCGGGATACACTAGATCGATTCCATGTATCAACAGCATTGACTACAAACATCGAGACAGCCCGCTGAGGAATATCCCGATACCCAGACGAAGAATACCGTCTGCCCTCGGGTCGCATAGGGGGCTGGCCGCCTTAGCCCGATCGCCGGACCCCACGACCGCAGAGCGGCCAACACGGCATCGCCCCGATCGGCATGTTTCCCTCGTATTGGCAACCAATAAAGGGTCCATGAGTTGGGCCTTCTTGTACGGTGGGGGCACTCTCCTGCAAGAATTGATAGTGTAAATATTGTGTAAAATCTACCTCGGCGCAAAATTGCCCCGCCATGTATCATGCATATCCCATTATCAGCCTTGCCGTTCAACGCCTCTCAAGTCCAACCGCATAGATCCGGTCCCGTGTCGCGACGCCCTCGGATCACATACACACACGACCCCATCCCCAACGTGTCCATCGTATCCAACATGTCCGTCATATCCTCCGACTTTCATTTCCACGCCGTCCTCCTCAGCCACTCCCCCACGGCCCCCATCACCTTGACGGCCTTTGCGTTGCCGTCCCTCGCGCTCGCCGCGTCCATCTGCGCGGCGCCCATCTCGTGCATGTCGAAGGCGTGGACCACGTCCGGCACGAGCAGCCACTTGACGCTGCCCCGCTCGTCCGCCGCCTCCCACGCGAACCTCTCGTCCGCCAGCTCGAGCTCCGGCGCCGCCCGCCCCGCCCCCGCCGCCGGCTCGGGCCGTCCCACGGCGCCGCCGACGGGGGGCCGCGGCCGCCCGCCCAGCTTGCACGCCAGCTCCCACGCCTCGTAGGCGAGGTAGTCGAGCTCCGCCGCCACGACGCACACGTTGGCCGGCAGGTCCTCGCGCGCCGCGTACAGCGGCGACACCAGCGGGTTCCGCAGGTCCGTCCCGTAGGGTATGTAGCTCCAGTCGAAGACGTCGGCGAACTCGAGCACAAAGTCCCGCCGGGACCCGCGGATCCCCGGCAGCTTGCCGACCTTGTACGGCCGGCGGTCCCGCTTGGACGCCGACGGCGTCGCGAAGTCGGTCGGCGGGTAGACGGGCACCACGGCCTTGGGCGCCGCCGTCGCGTGGCCCCGGACGGACGGCATCTGCGACAGGCACAGCGCGAGGTTGCCGCCAGCGCTGAAGCCGCCGAGGGCCACGCGCGCCCTGTCGATCGGCAGGGACTCGTCGGCGACGGCGGCGAGGAAGAGCGCCTCGAGGTCGTGCAGCGCGTGCGGCCACGGCGTCCAGGGAGCCTTCCAGTAGTGCAGCGCGATGACGAGGACGCCGTTGAGGTCGGCAAACGTGCGGTTCCACGTGTCGTCGTCGTCGGGGACGCCGATGCAGAAGCCGCCGCCGTGGATCGTGAAGAGCGTCGGGAGCGTCTGCGGCGAGGTCTGGTCGTAGTCGGAAGGGAAGAAGATGCTGCTCTCCAAGGTCAGACGTCTGCTCGCCCACACGAAGCTTCCTTTTTTTTTTTTTTTTTTCTGGAAGTACAAATTAGAACATACCGTATAGGCAAGGCCTTTCTGCAGTCATACTGCTTGATGAGGTCTGGCCGCATGGTGGGAGGATAGAAGTACGACATGCACGCCTCGAAGCCGGCCTTCTGAAAGTACCATTGCTGCAGCGACGAGATCTTGGTGCCGTACACGACGCGTTTAAGCCAAGACGCCACCGGTTGGTGGACGCTGTCGCCGCCAGACTCTGCGTTCCTCGCGAGACCCATGGTTATCTTGTTGTTGTTAGGGTATCCCGTCGTTGGGGCTTCCATCGAGGGCGATTTCAGGTAGGTTATATGAGCCACAAGGGGCGCTTCTTCCGGACGCGATGAACGACCGTGCCTCGTATACGGGGGAGCTGTGGAGGATCTTCTGCCGGGTGGCGATGACGATGACGACGAGGAAGACGACGACGACGACGGCTCCAACAACAATTGCAATAGTGGCAACGACTGGCGACAACTAGGTACGGAGTCGGGGAGGTGGACGTTTCCGAGAGAGAAGCTGCCAGAACTATACGAAGCGCGTTAGCCCACGTTTCTCCTCGTACAGACGACGGGCGACTTCAGGCTGGGACGGGGACGCGGCAGGCCACAGAGACAACATCATCGTGCGTCTGGGCCGCATTTGTGGGAGAGAGGACCGTGTGGAACTACACCACAGGGAATAAAGGGACGGAGTAAAGGCGCAGTCCCGTCGGCGTGCCGGGCTCTCGGTTTCAACAAGTTCTAGGCTCTCCGGCAGCGACTTGACCCTGATGAATGGGAGATGCAGAGTGGGAGAGCCCTTGCGGCGGGAACTGCAGAAACACCGAGTGCCCGCGGGCGACGATGTCGATGCAGGAGGAAGGGGCGCGCGGGGACAGGTGGCGGATGGAAGAAAGGGGGTGGAGGGCACAGGATAGGACAGGACAGGGCAGGACAGGATGCATTTCGGACGAGAGTCGCAGGGCGGCGGACAGACTAGACTTACGGGTAGATAGATGGCGACGTAGAAGAGGAGAGCGGCTGCGGAGAGCACACGGAAGACCATCGTTATGATGGTCGACTCGGGCGTCGCGGCGGACGGCTGCGTCGCTGGCATCTTTCCCTCCGTATCCCAGTTCTTGCGATCAACTTTCCTTCTCACCTGGTCAGAGAGTATAAGGACAGAGAGAGGGGGAGAGAGAAAGAGAGAGACGAAGGGAGCCAGGAACAAGGGGCGACGTGTGGATGGCCACGTTCATGCCGCCGCTGTCATGTCAAACACAAGGTCGAGTTCGAGCTCAGATCGCGCATTGTCCGGACGGAACACTGTTGCATGATTGCATGTGCTTCGGCCCCCCAGTGCGTGTTTCTGGTTTCTTGGAGTCAAGAGGGGGGGAAGGGGAGATGGTTAAGATTTCCCCCGCCGTCGGAGCTTTGTCCAAGACACACTCACACCCCCCCTTATCGTTATCGCCTTGGGAAACCCTTGACAAAGCTTTGTCTAACTCTACTACTACGCATGAGCTCGAGCTATTTGGGGGACGGAGGGGGACCCCTGGGCTCAGGGGTCCCTCGAAGACAGCGATGGATGGATGGATGGATGGATGGATGGATGGATCCATGAGCCGTCCCATCATCTTGTCAACTCCACAAAACATGCATGTAACCTAATGGCCCTTCTCTCTAAATACTTATATTCAGAGTGTGAGGAAGATTGTTTTTTCTTCTTTTTTCTTTAGATGTGCGGATAGTAACTCGTGTGGTTTGAATAAAGACCACCATCTTCCGCGACTGCTTCGTGGCCGGAGCTCCGGCAGGCCTTCCGGTCCTGGTCCGGGGGATTCTGCTCCACAGCTATCGTCAACTCGGGTGCAATGGCGGCCGGGAGAACTAACTGGCTGGGAGCCGCAGGAATAGATGGTGATTTTCGCTGTGAAACGACTCGAGTCCTCTCTCTCGGAGTTAGAAGACCCCGACTTGACTCGAGGAACGCCTGAACTCGTGCATGTTCTCCATTCCAATCCTACTCTACAGCTGTGTGTAGGCGTAAACGAAACACATAATAGTACAAAAAACCGGTTGACCCGTAACCGTCTACCCAGTGCATTCAGCCGCCACCATTGTCGTCTACTCATTTCACAGACTCGACGGTTTCTGCACCACCACCTCCTCCTCCTCCTCATCGTCATCGGGGTCCTCAATGCTCGTGCGGCGGGCTGCTTCGATGGCCGCCTGGACCGGCTTCTCATCGTCTCCCGTCGCTGCGTCGTCCGTGGATCCATTGTCTGCATCAGGCTTGTCGTCCTTGCCATCTTTCTTGCCCGCGAACGGCCACAGGCCGCCGAAGGCTTTGCCCCCGGCCCCTCCCTGTGGCGGGTACACGGCAAGGGGCCTCAAGATGCTCTTGTCATTGGGATCCGTTCCTGGCGCCGGTTCCACCTCGGGCATGGCGAAATCGCCAAACTCCTCGTCTTCCTCGTCTTCGTCCGAGTCGTCCTGTCCGTCAAACTCTGCGCTCTGGCCCTGCTGTCCCCCGCTGCGCCACCAAGATGCTTGGCCAGACTGGCCCCATGCACCCGATACTACTCCAGCCGCACCCGGGCCGTGGCGGCTGCCATCGTCCTCGTCGCTCGAGTTCTCCTCGTCGTCCTCGTCGTCCGCGAATGGATTCGTCAGCTTTTCGCCCTCGCCAGATTCCGTTTTGTCGTCCTTTTCCCCCTCGCCATTCTCATCGCGAGATGCGGCCGCGGCTGCATTCTTCTGATGCATTGCTAACCGGGCCGCGAGTTGAAGTCGAGCTCTCGAAGGCGGTGTGTTCAGTGGTGGCGGCGGCGGAGGCGGCGGGATTGATGGCGGGTTTAGAGATGACGAGTTGCTCAGAGGGTCGGTGTAGGCCCGGAACTAGAGACGCGAGTGTTAGCTGCGGCGGCCCGTTTCCCGATAATGGCGCACAAGGTAGAAAAGACTCCCGGAAGCAAGTCTTGGTCATCGTCGTGACGCGGTCATAGGGGATGAAGGAGGACCCGGTTCCAGAGAGGTTGCAACGGAAAAGAAAAGTCCAAAGTTGCCTGGTATCCCAAGGAATCGACGCCGGCGCGAACGGAGACATGTAATCCTACACTACTCGCCGCCCCAGTACATCAAGAGCACGCCCCAACACCGCCCACCGTTCCCCGCATGTCCTCATGGGCTACTTCATTCCTCCGTACCGCCGCCGCCCACGCTATCTCTAGTCATTGTCCGCCTAAGCCATACCATCATGCTGAGGGAAGGCCGAATCATGTACATGTCCTCATCCGATTCCTCGTCGCCGAGTTCATCGGCCCAAACTTCCTGGTCATCCTGATATACAAACACCGGTTCCTCGTCGCCTCCGGACACTTCTATCTCGAATCCAACGTCGTGACCGGCGCCGTCTGTGCTATCTCCTTGGGTTCTGCGAATGCAACATGATCTTTCTTTCTCGTCTGCGCACTACGCATCTCTTTTCGAATCCTTGTCCTCGTCGGAATCCGGGTTGTTGTCAAGAAGTGATTGCGTCCAGGGGTCCAACGCAGGCGGTTCCGTCTCACGCAGCTCTGAGAGCATATCACTCACCTCGTTACCGACATCGTCTTCGTTCTCCTCTTCGCCCTCGTCTTCTTCGTCGCTGGAGCTGCCGAAGCCGGACATGAGGGTGCCCGAGCTAATGGCAAACGGACCGATGCCGTTGCCGCCGCCTTCTTGAAGGTCCGTATTGCCGTTGAGTCCGGCCTCGGCAAGAGCGCTAGAGCCGGTGTTCCCTTGCGAGCTGGAGAAGGATGATCCGAGGCCGGAAAGACCGACGGCCGCCAGCCCGCTGCCAGACATGCCGGCGCGGTTGCCTAGTGCCACCTCGGGGCGGACACCGCCTAGGATGGCGTTGTCTCGCTCGCGTGTCTCGGCTAGCGCACCCTCGACGTAGCTGATCCATCGCGGGTCCATAACCCGTTCGAGGACAGTCTCTGACAAGAGCTCGGGGGGGTGTCGTTCCGTAAACTTGACCACCTCTTCAGCGATCAGAGTCAGATGGCCCATGTACCCCATGCGAGTCTTCATCTTGGCCTGTGACTCGTCGCTAGCGAGCTGGCCATTGATAATTGCCGTCGTGATGTCCGCGGCCTCGAAAAGTGATATCGCCAGGGTCGGGTTGTAACCCCTGTCCATGGGCCCGTTGAAAACCTGCTGAACAATATCATACACCACATTATGGAGAAAGTTGTTCCAGGGGTAGGCAAAGAAGAAGGACTGCTCGCGTGTCAGCCCGGGCCACATGTCACGTCACGTCACAGTCAACTCACCAGGATTGTAGGCACGACGCGGTGTTCCACAAACTGAACCTTAAGGTAATCGCCAACCACCGGCTTCACCGTGCTCGGGTCGGGCCGCTGAGGAACCACGGGCGGCAAGTCACCGGCCTCCGTCTCCGCACCGCGGTCCGCTCCCGGGGGCGCCGGGGCCTCTGGTGCTTCGGGAAACTCGGGAGTCACGGGCACCTCGGGGGCTGGCGCAGTCGCCGTATCTTGTCCCTGCTCCGGCTCGCCCTGCACCGCTCTCGAGCCAGTATCAGTCACAGACATGGAGAACAGAGGCGCCGGCATGTCTTCGGGGTGCTGGGGAGAGTCGTCGGAAACCGCGGCAGAGGTCTCTGCGGGCTCGGTCTTTGCCTCGGACTCGGTGGCGCTAGGGGTGTAGACGACAGACGAGTCAGACTCGTCGCCCTTTTGGTTCTCCTCGGAAACCGGGGCTGGATCTGCCTTATCGTTGAGGGAAAGTTCCTCCACCTTGGTGACGGTGGCGTCCTCGGCGGTCTTGTCGTCTTCGGGGTCGGGTTTCGCGTCCTTCTCTGTCTGTGTGGCAGCCGCCTCTTCCTCGGCCGGCACGTCACTGTTGACTTCGGCAGCTTCTGGCTTCGCCTCCTTGTCGGCACTGGGATCGGAGTCCACCGCGGCGGGGGCCTCTTCGCTCGTGGGTGTCTTGGGCTTGCTCGGCGAAAGGGGCGCAACGACCAGATCGGGGTCGTCAAACTGCTGCTCCTTGATCCTGGTGTCCGCGACGAGCAGCCTAGGCGAGCTCAGGGGCTCGTCCACAAAGTCGTCCTCGTCCTTGTCCAAGAGCGACGCGGGCGGGGCCGCGACGGGAATCTCTTCTTCGGCCTTGATAAACTCGTGGGACGTGTCTTCGTTCATTTCGCGGCTTGGTTCAACCTCTTCGAATCCGTCATCGTCTGAGATATTGGTTACCTCTAAACGACGTCCCTCCTCGGGAGAAGAATGCCCAATGCGCATCGTCGAGTCGTCGGTGGACAAGGGTGCTTCTTCTCCGCGGTTCGGGGTAAGCTTACCCTCCATTCTCAAGCGCTGACGCTCGGCATCTCTGGATGCAATCAAATCTTCGGAGCCGACTTCGTTCAGCAGGCCCATGTTACTGCAGTGGAGCAGCTCGGCCATCAACTCGCACGTCTTAAATCGGTCGAATCCGAGGGGCTCGATCTTGTCGCCAAAGGAAGACCCCAGTCGCTGTTTCTTGACGGGGGAGTTCATGATGAGGTTGACAAAGTCGGGGACGTGCTGGGCGAATAGGCGGAGGAGGGTGCCCAGGTAGATTGGATCGCGGCTCGACGGGACGGAGTTGGTTTCGGTGCCGACGTCAGGGTCGTAGTCGGAGTTGTTCTTCCGGATCACTTCAATGATGATACCAACACCGACGGTCAACGGGTTTCCACCTCCTAACATGTACTTGATCAGCTGCTCAATGCAAGGTTGCGACACCAGCTGGCGGGTAAGTTCGTTGGGGCCAATGCACTGCTGCTCGTTCTGCGAAGCGTTGGCAGAAATGGTGATGATGGCCTTGATGAAGTCGCCTGCGGCCGTCTGCACGACCCAGCTGTGCTCTGGGCTGAGACAAGAGAGCAGAGTCGGCACGACGTCTTGGGAGTGAAGCCACTAGATAGAGAGTCTTGTCAGTCCGGGGCGTCTGCAAGCAAGCGAGCTCCGCCGAAACTCACCTCCACGATGCCCTGGCCGCCCTCGGTGCGGTCGAGGGCAATGATCTTGAGGAGCAGGTCCATGATCATGGGGCACTCGACGTGGCGGAGAAGGTCGGGCACGGCGTCGGGCAAGGACTTGAGCAGAATGACCATTTCCTCCGTCTTTTTATCAAACAAGGCCTCGTTGACCTTTGTGAAGTAGCTGGCCTGCAGAGGGTCGAGGGGAGTAGGGCGCTTGAGGAACTGCCAGAAGTCGCGAATGAGGTGCTGGTTTTCCATCATGGCCTCGTAAATGGACCAGGTGTCGGATGACAGGACCTCGGCAGCAACGTAGGCATAGCGATTCCGCTTCTTCTCTTGCTCCTCCTCTTCATTCTCGGGTTCGGTGGCTCGCGAGGAGGCGCGAGGTCTTGAGAAGGGGAGGAGTCGGCCCTTGGTCTTGGTCTCTTCGACGGGTTCATCGGGTTCCGGAGCAGCGACAGGCTCGAGTTTGGGTGCAACGACATATTCGAGTAGTGTCTTGAGGACATTGTCCTCTCGGAGATACTCGATGAGCTTTGTGTTGTGCTGCTTGAGCTCTTGGATAAGGTCGCTCTCGTCGAGGAGGTCTTCGACAGTGAAATCGGGTTTCTCGAGGATGGTGTCGATGGTGGATATGTTGGCGTAACCGCCAAATCGCCAGAACATGTTAACGGTGTTGGGAGGCGACCTATGTCACGGCGCCCGACGAGTCGCGGCGACGATTGACACAGAACAAGGAAATGATTGATTGAGCAGCAGTCCCAGAATGGAGCATACGAAGGTCGGACTCCAGCCGGGATGGACAAGGGCGAATGGGGATTTGCAAGGAACAAGAATACAGTTGGAGGATAACGAATGCTAGATGTCGTCGTCGTGGATGCTAGAGCCTCAAGGCATACGAAAGGTCGTACGTCGTCCGTCGGTGTGGGTATCGGCCAGTCCGGATGCAGCTGGTTGGCGCGACGAACAGGGTCAGCAACGCAATTCACGGAGCGGGTGGTGTTAAGCGGTTGGTAGGGTGGAAAAGGAGGAGGAGAAGGAGGAGGCGATCAGATGCGGTGGTAAAGTGTGCAGGTGATGTCGCCGGCGGAGTGGAGGGGCCGGCGCATCGGACCAAATAAAAAGAGGAGCTGACTGATAATGGAGGGGGGAAAAGATGAGGGAAAAATTGGTGGTGCAGCTTGCGACGGCAGAACCACCACAGAGCGAGAGAGAGAGAGAGAGAGAGAGATAGCAGGGATGGGTGGGACACCAGATGTCCGACGCCGACTAACAGAGAGAATGTGTTGCAGATGTCGACCTGACAGCCAGCGCGCACGCGTGCACTAACTTGAGGCAGATGAGGCAGATGAGGCAGCGAGGAGGGAAGCAGCGAGAGTGAGTGAGTCGAGTGGTGAATCGAGTGGGAGGGGAGGGGGGTAGGAGAGACAGGGCAGACGGAGAGTGCAGCAGGGCAAGGGGAGGTGGTGCAAAGTGGAAAAGGCGTACCTACTACGGTGCAGGTAGTATGCGTATGTGTGCGTCACTCCAAGCCTCGTTCAGAATAGAATGAGGGATGCGGATGCCTGGAGCCTTTCCTCGGGCTTGGGTGGTGATGGTGGTCGTCGTCAAGGTCGTCAACGTGGCGGAGGGATTTGGGAAATCGTGGGATGGCGGTGTCGCTCCGTGGGTGGGGGTGTGGGTGGAGGGAATGTTTAGGAACACAGAAATAAGCGTGAGTAGGCGAGACGATGGGATGGGACAATGAATGAATGTCGTCGAGATTTGGATCGGATTGCGCAGCAGTACGGATAGGATGGATACGAGTGGTGCAAGGAAGGTTAGGTAAGATAGTCTCGGGAGGAATCCATACACTACCCAACCTGTGGCCCAATCAATCGTTGACTCGCTGCTAGCGTTGTCGAGTCGGGGGGGGGGATCAGCCTGTCCCCGACTTGGTTTATTTGTGCGGACAGAGTATTTACCGTACCTACACTATGTGTGTAGGTAGTGTAGTGGCTGTAGTATTGGCTGAAGTAGCAGATATGTGTGTTGTGTTTGTTTGTGAACCGTCGGGTGCGGATGTAGGCTGGGCGGGTATCTGCGCGTGTGTATGTGTATATGTGTGTTGTGTGCGTTGTATGTGTGTGTGTGCGTGTCGTGCGTGTGCCCTCGGAGTTTGGGAAGTTGGGCGGCGTGTGGCGCGAGAGGAGAGAGAGGGGGTAAGTAATACTGTGCGAATGAGTGTGTGTCTTGTCTCTTCCCTCTCCTTCTCTCTCTCTTCCTCTCTCTCTCTCTCTCTCTCTCTCTCTCTCTACTGTCCCTATCTGGTTTCTTTCTTTCTTTCTTTGTTTATCCGATGCTCTCCCTAGCGTATCTATCTTTCTTCAACCACACTCGGACCGAGCAACAACAACACTGACCGGAATGCCGGGAATGACGGCCGAGGGTATTATTTACCATTGGAAGGAGACGTCAGGGGACACACTAGGTACTGAGACTGAGCACGAGACCCTGCAATTGGGGACCTGAGAGTGTCCAATGCGTGGATTCCCTCTCGGCAATAGGTAGTGCTGCAGACCTGTACAGCTATTTTCCTTGTTCCGAGTACGCTGTTTGGCACAGAGTGACGGCAGGGTGAGATTGTTGTCAATTTGTCATCGTCATCGTCCTTGTTATTTATTTGTTTGTTTTCATTTCCCATCATCGCTGTTGCCTAACAAGGGGAAAAGGGCGGGGGAATCAGGTTGCTGTTGAATCAGGATGAAGAGTCAAGGTCGACACACCTCAATCTGCCAACTTGCTTTCGTCACAGGATGCATACGTACATTGCAAGCATGTTACTTTGTACGCACGAGGCTTGTTGGGATCATGGAGGGCTAGAGTGGAGTTAGAGTCGTGCCCAGGTAGCCAACTCACTCCCCCCCCCCCCCGGTAGTTAGGGCAGATTAGTTCCAGATTGGCTTGGTTGTTTTGCTGCCCGCCCACTTTCAGGCCCTGCTGCTACCTGCGAGTGTACTGTGTGGGAGATAGAGGAAATGCAGATAAGGTCGAGGTGGTGTCCGAACTGCCTTGACCCCATCCGATGCCCAGGGGCCAAAGATCAAGCAACGGAAGCCAAGCAACGTGCTGGCAACAGACCAAGACACGCCAAAAAGCCCACGGCCGGGGAGTACCGGTAGTGCGTGCAAGACGCAAATCCGACGGTGGCGGCGCCTTCACCATCAGGTTCCGGAGAATACCCATCGAGACGACCGACTCCCGAGCCGCCTGGCTAGCTAGCCTAGCTCGTTCCGATCGCAGACGACAAAAAAAAAAAAAAAAAAAGCAATGGTGAGACGGTCCGCGCGCCCATGTCCGTCCACCTCTCTCGGCTCGAGTCTCTCTCTTCTTTCCACCACCTCTTGTTCTGTTGAGACTGGACTGTCCTGCACTTCCTTGCTGCAGTGGGATGGGGGTTTCTCGACCTCGCCTAATTGAACAGACCAGGCCAGACCAGGCCAAAGAAAGGGTCCGCATCTCTTTATTCGCTGTGTCGGGATCCCTTCCCCTCCACCGCTCGCAAAGTATCGAGTAATGAGCGTCGTTAAAGGGTCCTTCCCGTGACTTTCGTGTGAACCCGATAGGGTCCGGCCTGACGTGATGCTACCCAAGGCCGGTGGAGTCTAGGATGCCCCTCCATTGCTTTTCCCCCCACGTACACACACTGGTTGGAAGGCTCTCGACTTGCTTTTTGGAGGGGGGTCTTGTGCAGCTTGTCTGTTGATTTGTTGCGTTTGTGGCTGTATATGTGGACTGCGGCAGTGTTGTTATGTCGGGTCGAATCGATGCGAGTTGCTGGTCTCTTGAGAAATACGCATATCGAAATGGCAGACGTGGGAAAGCCAGAGTAGGAGGTACTTGGCGGAAGTACCTTGACCAAGTGGTTCCGCTGGGGAGGAAGCAACGAGGTACGTGCCCTGTACGTACCTTCCTTCCTGATGTTACGGAGTAAAGTGGGCAAGAAGAGCCCCAAGCAGATCTTCTTGGTTTCATGCACATGTTCCATTAATCCAATAAAATCGTTCTATCAGTTAATCCGTTACATCACGACCCTGCATGTTTAAATGCCTCTGCCCAGCACATCACCAGACAGACTCCAGAGCCAGCTATGGAGCTACACCAAGTCCCAAATGTCGCCTCTCTCTCCCAGTTCGTAAAGGTGTTCAAACTATGTCCTCCCTCCCTTCAATCCCTCGCAGAGCACCCTCGTCGCAGTCGCCGAGAGCCCCCGAGCTCTCGCTCACGTCGCCTAGGCCCAGACCTGGTCCACCAGCCAAGCCGAGGGTTTGCGAGGTCCACTTGAGGTTCATCTCGTAGTCCCGGTCAATCTGTTTTGTTCCAGGTGGTAGAAATGTGGCGCCTAACCCGATGAAGGCGGCCGCTACTGTGAGGGTCGGAGAAACAGCAGCACCCGCGCTAAGCACTCCGGCTCCCATGCTCAATGTCGCGGAACATCATTGATAAAGCTTCTCTGTCCACGACCTTGCCATTTCTTTCTTGTTAGAATGATGCGAGATAATCCCGGACGGCCTGTCAAAGACTTGCCGGATGGCGTGTTTGAATTCGACGTGCCAGTCCGAGGGCAGCTTGGCCATTTTCCTCCACCTCCATAAAACTGCCTGCTCCCAGTGCAAGAGATGCTACGAATTGTCTACGTGTATCTAATTCTTTGGAATCAGATAATCGAGGTTTCACCCAAGTCGGATTGTCCGTTTTGTTAGCCAGGTTTTGGGCAGTCGCTGACTTCTGTAACTCCCATTGTCGCCTGATGTCAGTTGATATAGGCATGATCAACACGTAAGGATTGGCTATGAAAGCAGGAGTTATCGAGTAAACTATGTCTTCGCACAGTAGTCAGTCGCAAATTTGATGTGATAATAAAAAGCAGACCAGCGATTTTCTACTTTGTACAGGGCAGGAACAGTCGCAGTGTGCAGCTAACGCGGGGAAAGGTCAGCTCAAGGCGTGGAGTTCAGGAGTGCGTTCCTGCGACACACACCGAAGTGGTGGTTCACCACGTAAATATTCCGTTCTGCGAATAACCCTTCATAAACATATATGCTACTTTTGCTTTTATTTGTTTTCAACGGACAATTCATCATCCGGGGCGAATCATTCCTCAAATCAAACTCTAATCATCTATCTGATTACTCAAAACTTGTAACCAGCTTCCGCCAGCTGTTGGCCATACTACGTGATATTAGCATTGCAATTAGATAAAAAAACGGGATAGCTCATACCTTCTTGAGGCGGATGGACTCGATCGCGATGAAGCCAGTCTAGAAACTATACGTTAGCCGTTTTCCTTCTCTCTGACCTCGACATTGATTCAGAACGTACCGCATCAGCGGGATCGAAAGTAGTGAGGGAGTCCATAGAGGCATCCTCCTCGGAGTACAACTTCTCCGGGGACCTGCGGCCAAGAACGTAGGCTTGACCCTTGTACAGCTGAAGGCGGACTTCACCGTTAACCTGGGGGAGTCAGTATAATGTTCAATCTCGTTGAAGGCCAATCATCCTACCCGTTCTTGGGCAAAGTCGAGACTTGCTATTAAAAAGGTCAGCATTCATTCACTACCTCGCCATACGGTTTCGACGTACGCTGCAGGAATTCTCTCTCGGGACTGTAGTAAAGACCATTGTAGAGCAGCTGAGACCACTGCTTGCTCAACGTATCGCGGGCAGCCCTCAGGCGGCCATCGAGTGTACTGGCGTATAGGGTCAGCTCATAGTATGTGGATGGATAGGTGCATTGCACTCACAGGCCTTCGATCGCGATGTGAGCCACACGAAGGATCGTCATGGCGGGAGAGTCTGGAGGGAGTCAGTAAAGACCGAGGAATGCCAGCAGAACGACTCACCGTAGCAGCCCCTAGACTTCAAGCCGATCAAGCGGTTCTCAACGATATCCTGGTACAGTTAGATACAGGTACACCTGAGCTTGCGACAGCGGAGTAGATTGACGTACAATGCGGCCAATGCCATGCTCCTTTCCGAGCGCGTTGAGGAGCTTGAAAACCTCGACGGAATCGGTCACTGTCTGCTGGGTCTCGAGAGTCACAACCTTGACAGGGATACCCTTTTCGAAGTGAATTGTGATGTGGGCGGGGGTGTCAGGAGCCTTGAGCGGGGAGACAGTCATAGTCCACATGTCCTCAGGGGGGGTGACGTCGGGGTCCTCAAGCATGCCAGCCTGTTGCAAGTTAGCGGTGTTTGTCTGAGCATTCGCGAATAGACAGACTTGCCTCGTACGAGCAGTGGGCGAGATTGGCATCCATCGAGTACGGCTTGGCCTTGGTGGAAGAGACGGGAATGTCTGAGCTATCTTAGCCATCAAAACTCGGGAGGAAGATTGATCCACTCTTACTCTTCTGGGCTGCGTATTCAAGAAGATCGTTCCGGCCCTAGTTGGCACCGTTAGTGAGAAACATGATGGGGGTGGGCAAACTTGACACTTACTTGGAAGCGCGAGGTGAACTCAGGCAGACGCCAGGGGCTGATGCACTTGATGCTGGGGTTGATGGTGTAGAATGCGAGCTCGAATCTGACCTGATCGTTTCCCTTGCCGGTCTGTTCCCGTTAGCACCTGAACATAATCCAGAGCCAATGCAAACACTTACGCAACCGTGAGACACAAACTGGCAACCCTCTATGGAGAAAATGGTCAGCAATGCCATGCCTGTCTGATGGTTCGACACGCCCTACCCCGAGCGGCAGCCCTCATCATGCCGCGTGCGATGACAGGGCGAGCCAAGCTGGTACCCAGCAAGTAGGTATCCTCGTATTGTGCGTTGACCTTGACGGCCTTGAAGCAAAGGTCCCTTCACACTCTGTCAGCCAGCGAGTTTAACCGACGGTGTATGTATAGTGCATGCAATCGACTCACTCAACCATTTCGCGCTCGAGATCGTCGATGATCATCTGGTGTCGAGGTAATGAGAATGCAGTCAATCGCAGTTCGGGTCATCTTGCGGTACCTTCTTGGCGCCCATCTGGAGAGCTGCGCGTGGTGGAGTCAGAGAAGGGATTCCAGCAAGCTTTGGGGGGGGGGGGGGGGGGTTATTCAGTGACTCACCTTTCTTCTCGACGGCAGCCCAGTCCTCCTCCTGGCCAACATTGGCGATGTATGCGCTTGTATCGTCAGTACGGCAGTTCCAGCAGTACAATTGCGAGGGAAAACTAACACGACCTCATATCCCTGGTCAAGCAGCCAGGCGAGAATGGTCGAGGTGTCAAGCTTCAGGATGGATAGTCAATCAGTATGGCCCCGTTATAGCAATAATGCTCGTTGTCATTGGGTTCGTTCGGGGACCTACACCACCTGAGTAACTATTGGCGTTGGGTTAGATTCAATTTGATTCTTCAAGGGAGTCGCGGGACAGATAGACGTACGCGAGGCACACGGTACCCTTGGACATGTTGGCTAGTTGTTGCAATTGGTTGATTGATGTAGGTAAGTTCAGCTTCTTGGACGCAAGGCAAAGGAGGTGTTTGGAGGGGTAATGTAATATCTGTTTGGCAAGTCAGAGGGGTCAAGGAAAAATTTTGTTGTGCGCGCGCTCTCTCTCTCTCTCTCTCTCGGCGAAACTTTGCTCCTCGGGCCGCACATTTCAGAAGGAACGGCAGAGTTTATCTCCAGCGATCTGCAACTAAGGTACCTACAGTAGTGTGCAAGTAGGTACCGTACGTTATCCAGGCGGTCGGTCCCCTTGAGGACCGCCCATGGCGGTACACGATTGATAGTGACACAATCGGAAAAGTTTATCTCCATCCGTGACAACCCCCCTGACACTCTACTGTCGAAATGATTGGCTTAGATAAGTCTTCAGATCTATTGGTTACAGCCATTCCGTCAGTTGTAATGGACCCGTCAGCTGCTTAGGGTCATAAGTCTGACCTTGTTAAACAGAAAATCGATACAGCTGCTCCTCAAGAATCATAGCCGTTGTTTTTGATCGCGTACTGATAGGCCAATGGAATTCCACCGCAAAGCTCAGGCGGCTATAGTTAGGATACATCACTCTGCGACGTCAGCGGGGCATCTGATAAATCGACGGACGTGGCATCCTCGGTGTGATCTGACCTGTGCACAATTTCTCTTCCTAGCGTAGCATGTTGTCTACAATAATAGGAACGATGCGAGTGCCTTACCAATGAAGCAGACCCAGACAGAATCTCCTGGTGACGCGACGGTTCAACGCCTCGGTACACTTTCATCGAGATGATTAAGGGAAGGGAACGAAGACCACAGTGAGATGATGGAGCATATCGACATTGCTCTTTGATGACACTCGCAAATCCCGATAGGTAGGTAATGAAGGGTCACCTTATTCGTCCCATGTCTCACTTCGTCTCGGCCAGCGTTCGTCTGATAAGATTGAAACTGCCCTCTGACAAGTACCTAATCCGAACCCTTCCCCCCTCCATCATTCGCATCCCCTCATCATATGACATGATAGCAGCCTGGATCGTATTCCAAACCTCTTTCATTGTTCTGCAGATGACATACATCTCAGCACAACAGAATGAGTCTCGATAGTCTGTCTAACTTGGCATAGACTCGCGCCTGCTTGGCGGCTCCTGAAACCCGTGGCTTGCCATCAATGGACTCTCGACAGAAACCACCCCCTCTCCCCACTATTAACCGGCAGCACCGACCTTCCCCTCAGCTCGCCAATCAATTATTAGCACTCGAATTTTCTCCGAAACAAGGTTTCCATCGTGCCACTTTTCACCCGTCCAGCTGCCCCTCTAGTAAGTACACTAGGTAGTTGTGGTGGAAAGTAGATGCAGGAAATGCTTCCCGAGAACATGTCCATGACCCGCGAACAAAAGCGATGCTTCTGGCCCACCAGCCTGGAATAAGAAGAACACGCCGTATATGCGGTTAAGGACTTGGCATGCTCACAGCCTCTACAATACAGCATCATGTTTATCGCCTCTCGATACCAGACAAAAGAGCAAGTTGGATGGCACGATGGCGAATATACAGCCGCGAATATCAGATTCAAACTGGGCTGCAGGTCAGCACTACGGACCGGAACTGGATGACGAAATCTTGTACGATTTGTGCATCATGAATTGGTGAGAAATAAGCGCATTGTTTGATAGAGTCAACTTAGTAACTTGCCAGCCAGATGTAAGACGGCATGCATGCGTTCGTTTGAGGAAACACCTATTACAAAGCAGCCACCATCTGTTACCCATGATAGGTAGATCATAGTCACCCTCAGCGCCCGTCCAGGTGGGTGGTGACAATCATGCCTTACGTCATTCGTCAAAGCTCTGGGTGCTGCTGCCTACAGGGTATGGACCTATATCCAAACGCCGGACGCCGAACCCCGCCAAGAAGGAGAGAGGAGGGGGGGTTCCTAAGCAGAGATCCGCTTCTATTGGAATCTGTGAATTTAGTAATCGCAGGATTCTGTTGAACTCCGCAAACAGGTTGCCATATTTGGCTGATGCTACTACTACTTAAACAGCAGGAGTGCCGTGAGACTCTGCGTTCTTGTGAATATCCTCTTCATCTTATCAAGTAATCATCGCGCCCAATACGATTCAGCACTCTCCCGCCCCCTACAACTACTAGCTATCCGAGTACCCACACATAAAGGTGACGTCAAGTTTATCCAACACCATGTCGGAACTTACCGCACTTCCCAAGGGATCTCTCGTCCTCGTCACCGGAGCCAACGGATACATTGGCTCTCATGTCGCCAACACTCTGCTCGAGCTGGGCTACCGCGTCCGCGGCACTGTCCGATCCGACAAGCCATGGCTCACCGAGCTGTTCAAGAACAAGTACGGCGAAGGTGTCTATGAGCAGGTCATTGTTCCTCGCCTCGACGATCCGGAGGCTCTCGAGAAGATTCTGACTGATGTTGCCGGCGTCGCCAGTGTGGTAAGCTTTTACACCACGTTTCCGTACCCGAGATGGGATTTCTGTGTTGGAATGCTAACATTTAGTCCAAAGGCTTCTGACATGACCTTCGGCGAAGACCCCAACACCGTCATTCCTTGGGTAGTGAAGGCAACCGAGAGCATTTTGGCGGCTGCCGCGAAGCAACCTTCTGTCAAGCGCGTCGTTCTCACCTCTTCTGCTTTCGCAGCATCGCTCGTTGTCCCTGACCAGAAGAACTATGTCGACGAGAGTATGTATTCTATTCCGTGATTTCTCAGGAAAGAGCGCGAATGCTGACCGGGGCTATCAGGCACGTACAACGAAGCCGCGATCAAGGCGGCCTGGGACCCGAATACCCCTAAAGAATTCAAGGCAGCCGTGGTTTACTCGGCCTCCAAGGCCGAGGGAGAGCGAGCTGCTTGGAAGTGGGTCCAAGAACACAAGCCCGGTTACGTATTCAACACCATCTTGCCCAACTTCGCCGTAAGTACTCAAGCTTCTCCGTGAAGGCCGGCTTCCAACCTAACTCGCCTTCAGATGGGAGAGATTCTTCACCCGGAGATACATGGTTCGACCATGGGCTTCGCCCGCGGCGTGTTGAAGGGTGAATTGGCCATGTTGCAGACGCTCATGCCGCGTAAGTGTAGTGTATGAGGCTGTCAGGATAAGTTCGCTCGGCTAACGCAGCCCGCAATTAGAACTCTCCGTAGACGTTGCCGACGTCGCGCGTCTCCATGCCATCGCCCTGCTCGCCGAGCCGGTCAAGTCGCAGAGAATCTGGGGTTCCGCGAATCGCGTCACCACGTCCGACTTCATTGATGCGCTCCGCGAGCTCAGGCCCGACAACAAATTGATTCCGGAGAAGCCGGCCGATGTGGGCCGTGACCTCACCGAGCTTCCACCGGCCGCCAAGGCCGAGGCTTTATTGCAGAAATACTTTGGCCAGAAGGGCTGGACACCATTCAAGGAGAGTCTGGAGGCCGGCATTCGCGATTTGTAGATGAACGGAATTTGACAAGAATATTCCGACGCAGATCAAGGTGGCTTTGGGACTGCCGTCGCCTGGGATGTGTGTCATGGCTACTTAAGCGATTAGTTCTTCAACGAATACTGTGCCCTACCCTATATACGAACCACCCCTATATGTAAATGAAATGGTATGCACTTAATGAATGTTGATGAGGTCAGTGTTATCGCATTGCTGATCACGTGAAGATAAGAAACAGCAGCGACCCACTCCAGCTATCGCCCGTGGGGGCGGGAAGGATGCCTGGCTGCATGATGCTTTCTCCTCCAAAAAAGTAGTCTCGTCGCAACATCTTGCACGTAATTCTCCAATTGGTTTGCGCCGCATCGTGCCTAACTAACAGCATGGCCAGCTTTCCCACGTTCGATCCTTCTCGTCTGACGAAGAAGTCCGCCGCGCAATACTCTTCCGAGTCGGAAGAAGAAGACGACGATGACTACCTCGCGCCCGTCACAGACCCATCCCAAGGCGACGACTTTGGCGACCTGAACCCACGAAAGCGCCGGCGCGTTGGCAACACCAAGGAGAGCGCCGCGCTGGGAATATTTGGATCCGACAGCGAAGACGATGGTCCCGGACGGCGGTGGAAGAAGAAGACTCTGCGCAGCAAGGGCATGAGCTTCGTCTCTAAGGGCACCACTACCCTCGATCAAGACGATAAAACAAACGACACGGACGCCAAGGAATACTCGGACGACTCGAATGAAGATAACGATAACGACGACGACGACGACGGCGACGATGATGAAGATGAGGTTGGCGGCGTCGGGCTGGGGTTCGGCGGAGCGCAGCGTGGCTTGGGCTTCAAGCCTGCCCGAGCCGCGGAGAGCGACGACGACGCTGACGCAGCTGGTGCTCCCGTGCGATCGTTTGCGAAGACTAAGTTCGACGGCAAAACCCCGTTCGGTCGCGGCTTCGTACCCTCATCCGCCAACGTACCCGTCTTGAGACCCGATGTACAAGATGCACCTTCCACGCCAAAGGTGGTCCATCCCAGTGCCTTCAGTGCCAAGGGCAAGGCAAAGCCCAACCCAAAGTCGTTTGGCGCGCGAATGATGGCAAAGATGGGCTACCAAGAGGGCGCTGGTCTCGGAAAGGAGGGGCAAGGCCGAAGCGTCATCATCGAAGCGCACCTTCGACCGCAAGGCGTTGGTCTAGGTGCGGTAAAGGAGAAGTCGGAGCACGAGAGAAAGGAGGAAAAGCGACAGGCCAAGTTGAGGGGCGAGGAGGTCGTTGATTCGGATGAGGAAGAAAAAAAGAGGAAGAGGGAGCGAAAGAAGAAGACGGCCAGCGCAGGCGGCAGCGGCGCCAGCACCCCGAAACGGCAAAAGCCCAAGTACATGACGGCGGAAGAAATCAAGAAGTCTGCCCCCGGCCTTCACATTCCAGAGGCTTTCGCCCCCATTCTGGACATGACAGGGCCGGGCAACAAGCTTTTGACGACCGCGTCCGGACTCCTGACCCCGACCTCCTCTGCAGTCGTCGAGTCCCCCGAGGTGGTGGCTGCTCGCAAGTTGGTCAAGAGAGCACACGCGGATTTGGCAGCTTTCTCGGAGGAATGGCGGAATCTGGAAGAGCGCAAGACATGGGTCGACTTGGAGCTGCGCGAGAGGGAGCAGGAGATGGCGGACCTCGCCTCGGACCTGGGCAGGCTTCAAGTCTTTTCCAACATCGTCACCGATGAGCTCCCCTCAGCCACCGAATGGGAGGACGTCATCCGCTGCCTGGAGAAAGCAGTTCAACATATCGGACCGACGACCGACGAAACTGCGGATCTCGCCGTCGCAGCTATTCACCCTTTCTTCCGTGACCCCGATTGGAACCTGCTCGAGCAACCGACTCGGTTTGCCACAGAGCTGAAGGGATTGGGAAGCATCTTCACAAAATCTGGCGAGGGTCACAAGACCGTCAACAATTGGGAGTCGACTGGTCTGAATGCCAACGACCTCTATCGCCAGCACCAAAAGGCGACGACGCCCTACGAGACCATGATGTACAAGCTTTGGTACACAAGGGCCGTTTCGGCCGTCCGCGACTGGGATGTCTTCGACCCTACGCCGCTTCTGGCTGTCCTGGAGGCCTGGTCAGACCTGTTGCCAGCGTTCGTTCGTGCGCAGTTTCTCGATGCCGTCGTCCGCAATCTGGAAACGGCTGTGACGGAGTGGAACCCGAAGAAGAAGCGGCAGAGCCACAAGCTGCCTCACCTCTGGCTGTTCCCCTGGCTCCAGTACCTGCCATCGTACCACCTGGAGCCCAAAGGCACAGGACTGGTCGCCGATGTGCGCAGGAAATACAGGCAGCTGATTGACGTGTGGGAGTTTGACCGTGGCGTCATCCCGGGCCTGGAACAGTGGCGCGATGTGCTCGGCGACCAATGGCGCCCGCTGATCATGAGCCATGTGTTGCCGGCGATGGGCCGCTACCTACGCAAGAACTTCAGGGTCGACCCGAGCGACCAGGAACCCTACCTCCCCATGCTCACAGGCGTGCTCGGGTGGTCCGGCATCCTGACGCCCAAGGTAATGGGCGAGGTTATTGTCGCAGAAGTGTTCCCGCTGTGGCACGAGAAGCTGTCCGAATGGCTTGGCTTGGAAGACGCGAACTTTGAGGAGATTAGCGCGTGGTTCGAGTGGTGGAGAGACGACGTCCTCCCCGAGGACGTCAAGAACCTGAATTCGGTCCAGGCGGAATTCGTCAAGGGCTTTGCCACCATTGAGCAGGCCTTGTAGGTCCAAACCAGCGATGCCGCCAGCTCTTGAGAGCTTACGCGCCATCATGTAGACGTATCACACTGTGCATCCAATACCCTCTTTGCTGTACCATGCGGGTTCCTCAGGAACCGAAAGTAGCTGTAATCCTTCCGTCGATGGCAAGCCATCATATGTGTTTGTTCAGAAGTCTTTACTGCGTGTGGAAACGAAAGGTCTGCCGGTTCCCTCCGGTACCGAGACTGTCAGGTAGTCCCAGCTTCCCTAGAAACGGTACCTGTGGCAGTCCCTTGGCCGGGCCAAGTCGAGCTTTACAGTCACCATTAGCTGAGAGGAAAGAGGAAAGAGAGGCTCCGTCGAGAACAGCTTTTCCCTCCATGGCAATACTCGGGTTTGAGAACTCTGGCTCCTGGGGGCCAGAATGAAACAATGAGTTGCGGGTTTGGGCCACTGCAAATCTCACAATTCAATCAGATGCCGGTTATGTAAATATCGTGCCCCGATGCTAAGAATATATAATAAATAAATAAACACAATAAGAAAAGAGATCGTACGGAAGCCAAAGAGCTAAGAGGGGGAAAAAAGTTCCGGGAAGTGGAAACCTCGTCATGTTATTTCTCTCCCCCTTGCCTGGCTTGGGCACCCTCCTCCACGTTTCCCCCGTTCCTCATTATGGTAATCCGCCCAATATAGGTACTCTTGGTCGATCCCGCGTCACCATATTGAAACCTCCGCAGCGGTAAAACATGAGGTTGCTGAGGAACTTTGTTGGCTGGATACGTGGCCGGGCTGAAGACGCTGGAGAATTATTCCCCAGCTGCACAATGTTTGGGCTAACAGACGGGCATGGGAGCAGACCAATGAGTGAACGAGACGTACAGAGGATCATACCATCATATCATTACGACGTGGCCATGTCCCTATAGGATGTTGTATCGCACGAATATCCGACACAAGACGAAGGGGATACATTCTGTGTTGTCATTAGACGAGGAGAGACACTGCATTTTGTAGCGGCAAGTATGCAGGCCGCCTTCACTGAAGCAGCCGCAGCCGCCTGGCATTCCCAGTGAAGGGAGCGCTTCTACAGGCTTCGCGACGGGATTCTTTTTGGTACAAGCTCATACATGTTTTGCGTCAGTTCTGCCAAGTTAGCGCTACCTTACATCGACCTCACCCACCTCGGCGTTGTGGACAAGACTCAAGAATGCCTCAGCGGGTGACGGAGTAGGAGCTATATACATACATTTATATATCAAAGCTCGTTTCCGTGAACCATCAAGTCCTGGTGCTAAGTAGACGACCTTAGCCTTCCAGGACTAGCATCCTATCTGGCGTCCCACGATCTGCCTACTTCCCTTCGTGGCTTTGCTTCCGTTTATCTGCCTTGATGGCACTTATCTTCTTTTCACCTTTCGCCCCGGTGGCTTTGTTTTCTCATCCGGCGATACTACCTAGAGGCAGGTTCTGCTATCAGATTCCTAATAACCATGTCCGAACGCTCGTGTCCTGTGCCGGGATCTTTAGGTGGTGGACAGTGTCCCGCGGGTAGATAGTCGGTGAACAGGCGGGCTGGGCCGAGGGGTTGCTCTTTCTCGGGCTACACACAGCAGGGTGACCTCCATGCTTCTTTTGATGTAAGATGGAAATCTTCGCTTCCATCGGTTGGCCAGGCTCTGGGAGATTGCCGAACGCATGCCCAACGTCTTCCACGACAACGAGGATCTGCACTTGCGCGCGTGGCTGCCCTCGATTTTCCGGGCGTCCATCACCGCCGTCGAGTACCACTACTCCATCCCAGAGTATGTCAAGGTGTCCGGCGACCCGCGGGTCATGTACCTAATGGAACACGGGCTGTTGTCAATTGGTTTGAACGTGAGACCAGGGGACTGCATAGTTTGGATTGGAAAGAGGTTTAAGCAAGCGGAATGCTCGCAAACTTGTATACCTTGGTGTCGTTTGCTTATTATATACTGGCTAAGTCTGATTCTGATTGTCTTTTGCTCTTGCTTGCCTTGAATTCTGCGCATCAAAACCGCATCTCTCACCTTAATATTGTATCGACAACAAAGAACGGTCTCTAACGAGTTTATTTGTAGTCACAAGCGATACTTGTACAATTTCCATACGTCTCTCAACATCCACGTTCGCATTAGCTTATAGAAGAGGGGGAGGCATAGGTCGCCGGGTCGTCCCGACAGACACATCGATACAGGCAGTATCAGTACCGCAGATGCTCGTCTTCCGCCGCACTATCGACCGTGACTGCATTCAAGGTGTGCTCGAAAAACATACGCACAGGAGCGCCTCTTGGTGAATACAAAAAGGGCTTCCACTACTACGTCGGCCCCTTCGTCACAGGATCGTGCTCTGAGCATTGATCAGCAGGCTTTGCGCAGCCTCCCAGGCAGCAATAGGTACCATTTGTTGAGCAACTGCATCCTGTCAAAGCGCCTCGCCCGGATTCTCTACTGGCCAATATCCGCAAGGACGGGGTGCGCGATGAGATGAGCGACAGTAGCCACAGACAAGCGTGTGTGCCGGGGGTCCGTTACCGTTCCACGTGTGGCGAGTGCAGAATGTGGCTGACACAGCCGAGTGTGGCTGAGCACTTCACCCCCACACCCCGGCCGGCGACTACCAAAGACCCGCAAGGAACGCCCGGGGCGGCATCACATGACGTGACATCGCCACCAGGCCTTGGGGGAGGGATTCTGCTGTCGCGATTCGATTCTTCTCATCTTGGAGCTGGCCAATACTGCTGATCATACTCCTGATCGTACTACCATGTCCCCCAATCACCTAAACGCATGCTACAGGCGCAGTCAATCTCAATTCATCCATCCCCCCGAATCCCAAGTATACAGATCATGATATCATGCCTCCCGCTTGGCAGTCCTACTTGACCTAACGTGCATGTCGTGGCTTACCGCACCCTATGGCAATCCCGCCCCTCTACGTAGTATCGCCCTCTTACCTGTACCACTGCAGGTATGCTTTGCCTCTCAGCATGAATGCCGTGGCGTGGACCACCCCCGTGGCCATGTTATCACCCCCTCCTCGTTCTTCACCCTTTCACACTCATTGAATCATGCCAAGCCAAGCACTTGACTACCTAGTGTATACGGATACTGTTTGTGCGTAATGTAGCTAAGACTCGCAGCTGGCTCCTGTCTCTCCGCGTGCCCTTCCCTCGTATACTACAATACAAGCCTGTCGTCCAACCAGCTTCCCCGGTCTGTGTGTACCTGCATCGGCTGTCCGCGCATACACGGACATACACACACACCCGCACCTACAGACATAGCCATGGCTGCGGCAAGTAGAGAGGGGAGAAAGGGCGGGGTGGGAGGCACTCGCACCAACCCTCGGCCTCTATTCGTCTGATGTTTCCTCCCCTTCGGCTTTGCCCGGTACGAGAGTGTACACGCAGTCAACAAGCACCCTCGACGCCCAAAAAAAAGTGAACATGACTTGAATGGACTTGGCCGTCACTCATCGGGCTCTTGGTATAAGTCATCAAACTCTCTCTTTTACTGCCCTTGACCACCCCAGCCTTCCCCTCCCCTTTTCTCCCTCCTCTTCCTCTATCTCTCTCGCTCTATCTCTTCACTTCGAACACAGCCTGCCGACACCACATTCATCACTTGGGTAGCGAAAGGACCAACCCACGCACGTATCGTCACACGCCATCATGGACAAACCAGCCCAGCAACAGCCCCCCGTCGAGGCCCCCGGCTTGGACAACTCCGCCCCCTCCGGCCCGCCACCCGAGTACCAGCATCAACAACAACAGACCGGCACCACCACCGCTGCCGCCGCCGCGATGCCCAAGTACGGCGGCCCGCCAAATGACACCCCCCAACCCCGGGCCTACGGCGGGTACAGCCCCCCGCTCCAGGAGCAGCAGCAGCAGAGCTTCCCGATGCAGGCCGGCGGCCCGCAGAACTTCCAGCCCTACGGCACCCCGCTGCCCGCCCTGGGCCCGCACCCGGCCCCCGTCGAGTGCCCCGACTGCCACGCCCGCGGCGTCACCGCCGTCGAGTACTCGTCCGGCGGCTTCACCCACGCCCTGGCCGCCATCGTCTGCTTCGTGAGCTGCCTCGGCTGCATCCCGTACCTCTTCACGTCGCTCAAGGACGCGAGGCACAAGTGCTACAAGGTATGCCTTTTTTTTCTTTTTCTTTCTCATCTCCTTTCTCCCTCTCTCTTCCCCCACAGACGTATGGTGCGTGGAAATAGGATGCTAACGACCGGCAGTGCGGTATCCCTCTGGCCACGTACCACCGCAGCGGAAGGACCGAGGTCCACTGGCACCAGGCATACCATGGTTGAGGAGCACATTGGACGAGGCGAGACGTGACGTGACATAATTTGGGCCACCGGAGAGCAGCGGGGCAGCGGTGCAATACATCCATATAATACTCAGCTGATGGGATGGGGATGTCACTGTCAGTTCAATGTGTGCGGAGACGCTTATGAGCACAATGCGCCGTTACCACGCGAGGCGCATAGGATACCCTATTTTCTTTTCCCCCCACCTGTTCCTTAATCGAAGTAGTTTGAGGATTAATTAAAACCTCGGCGGAGATTCGTGCTGTCAACAGTCGTTCATCCCGCCTGGTCGTTTCTTGATTGACTATCCAAAAACAAAAAGCTTGGGATATTAGACTAGCTAGCCCAGTTGGAGATGGCGCCGTCCACTTGAAACCAACGCCGCACTCGGACGCTGCCCCGTCGGCAACCCTCAATACTGCTGCTCTCTCCCTGTCCCCGACTGGCGCGGATGGCCGTTTCAAGCAGCGATGCGAATGCGTCAAAGTGAAAATGAAAGTCCTAGCGAGGTTGCGGGTATCTATTCGGTTCATGTACAGTCTCCCCTTAAAATTCTACATCGTCAGCCAAGGCCTCACGTAATCGCCAGATTGGTACGCCCTACTTTTTTGATCCCCCCCTTTTTGACGCCTTGCCTCCAGTTTATCCCATTTGCATTTGCATCTTTCTCGTGAGTCGTTACGGCGTGATTCTGTCTGTATCTGCTTCTCGCCGTGGTCCGATGGCGGCCCGGCATCTTTGCCTCGTCTGCCCAGAGGCCAGCCGCATCGCATCGTCCTCCGGCTGCTGTAGCATCGCTTCGGGCCCTCTTTGGTCGGAACGCCTAGTTGGCAAAGATGCGCACGTTTAGGTCCACACTTCCTGTTGCAATGACACAGCGAATCTGTACATCTTGGGGCTTCGCTGCTGCCTTGGTTGGTGTTCCGTTGGCGCCGTTGGCGCCGTCTCCGTTTGTCGCCGCCTCGCGTACGATACCAGGTGCCCAGCGCAAGCACGAGACGAAGTGGCCGTGTACATCGTCGAGCACCTTGACACATTTGCCTTCCTGGGCCAGGTCCCAGCATCGTAAAGTTTTGTCGTCGGACACGCTGAGCAGGTACTTGCCGCCGGGGTGGAAGACCAGAGCTCGGACCCAGTTGTCGTGGCCAGTGAGAGTCTTGATGCAGTTTC